TCCTAATATGTTATAATGAATAAGTGTCAAATATGATGATGTGTTTGTCATGAAGTTGAATAAAATTAAGTAAAAAATACATTTTTTGCTACTTTTCAATCATGTGTTGATATTTGAAGTTTTTGGACGTGCGTTAAATGCAATGTCTGTCGAGCCTTAGGAGTCATGCAATAATTACATGATATTATTTATTAGTCAAAGTTTCAAGTGTAATTTTGAAGGTGTCATTTTTATAATGATTACAATAAAAAGATGTGAAAAAGATGAATACAAGTTTATTTAAACCTTTATCTCAATAATTCACTCTTTCTAGTATGAGGTAAGATATATTGTTATAGATTGGATTGTCAATTGTTTTAACGATCCAGCTTTCTTAAATTTTTTGCTGGTGAATCAACTATAGATGAAGTCTTTGAAAGTTAGAAAATAGATTATTTTGAAGTTTTGATAAAGATGATTGAAGAGTAAAAAAGTTGATCAAATCAATGATTGCTCGATTCGCTTGCTTGACGGTCACTAGAGATGAAATCTTGACAACATCATTGTCATTTAAATTGTTGACACTTTACACAACATCCTACAAAATATAAGCAATTTATTTTGCAAGAGATTGTGTTTTTCCAATACAAATTTGACAATACAACTTGCATCATCAATATTTTTATCGCAAGAACAATACAAAATAGCAAATAAAGTCAATCTTGCAACCAATGCGCACTTTAAGATGTTTTGGGACAAATAAAATGTACCCAAAACAATTGGGCATTTTACTGTTGTAAATGACACCTATCAATAATGACGTTCACTCCAAGCATCATTTTTTGTCTTTATTGGAAGTTTGAACTCTATAAATTAATTATCAAATAAACAAATTGAATTGAGTACAACCTTTTTTGTTCATATTTGATCAAATTGAAGAAAATAACACATAATATAAAAATATTTATGTCAAATGACTTCACAACTTCATGACGGTTTTTCAAATAAATAAATAAACTTACTTCATCATGAATTATACTTTTTCATGCAAGGATTTAGATCAAAAAATACTAAATAAAAAACTTTGGAAGGTACAACTGAAATAATTCCAAGAATTTTCCATAGATTTAAAATTTTCTTTGTATATTTTATCATTATTTTATATCATTATAAAAATTGATAAGCATATAATATATATCTCCATCAATGTAATCATGTCTTGAATTAATTTCAGAATATTTTTTAGATCTGAATTTTGAATGTAAATGAAAAAAATATTACACTTATATTAAAATTATTTTGTAGATTGTAATTTAAATACAATCAGTGCTATAAATTGAATCATCGTAGTTGAATATGAATTTAGTGACAAATGATAATTTAATATAAGACAACTTGGTTGATCTTTAATGAAAAACATTGTGCATATAAAACTATAATCATGTTCTTTCTTAGTGTGTAGAATCACATTTGGTGTAGCAACATTGTATCAATTTTACCATGTTACAGCTTCAAATAATCCGTTTTACTAATCGATATAGATACATTTAATTTGATCAATTTCAGTTAGTTTTAAATATCTAAATGGAAATACAAAGATAAGCCATCTATAGCCACAAAATGGATAAGTACAATTTGCAGTATTTTTGTTCACAGACGTGACACGTTTGAATTATGACTCAGGGAAGTAGATCAGAAACTGAGCATAAATTGACTCTGCTTGTCAACTAAAACTAAGATGAGTTACTAGCAGCAGATTTGGACATGACATGGTGAAATATTTTTGTTACTTGTGGTCACCATATGTATTCTAATTATTGTGTATAAGAATCTATCAACACCATAACTTGACAACACCTCATCTTGTGACCGTAACGAAGTAATCATGTAATATATCTGAACCCAAGGTATGATAAAATACGGGGAAGACTCACATCTATGTAACGTAGATTCTACGCCGACTAATTCCAATGCAAGGGTCCGGTATAAAGTGAGAATGGCGACTGAAGATTCTAAACGAGTGACACTCCGATCGATCACATTCACAAAGTGAGAATTTGGAATGTCGAGAAGAAATTTGCAAGAAGAAAATTCTTGTAAGTACGCAGAAGTCAAGAGCTCGTGGGCAGGAAAGGAAAGGAGAGTGACACGGGCGACGTCGAGCGTCATCATCGATGCTGACGAAGATGACAGACGATGACTAGGCGAAACCGGGGAGAGTACGATACGGAGAGTAGAGGGAGCACGGGCACTACCGTACATGGTCCCGGATACGACTGAGTCGACGCTCGACGCTCGACGCTCGACGCCCGATGCGAGAGCGAGCGACGGGAGTTACGGGAAGGGATCGGGACGGCGCGGGAAGTGAAGAGAAGAGATTGCAGCACACAATCCACTGCAGATTCAGTGCCATTCCGGATTTACGCAAAGTCAACGATTGTTCTGCGAAGGCCAAGTGCCAGCGTCCGCCTCCTGCATGACTTCCCCGACCCCTCCTTCCTCTCCTGTCCCTGCCCCAGTCCAGTCCGTGTGGGCCTGTGCCGTACAGGGACAGTATATTTCCTTCCTCTCTGTTCGTGCCAGGGGCGCGAGGACCGACCGTGGTTCGCGAAGTGAAGGAGTTTACACCCTAGTCTCCTTATCCACCTCAATCTCGCCCCATACCTGACTACCCCACTGTTGACTTGCTGACCCGGTTGCCGGTCATTTCTCTTCTGTGTTGTACGTTGTACTTGGTTAGTCTGAGCCTATGGGGGGCCGGGGGTCTCCGTTAGCACCCCCACTGGGGTTGGGGCTGGGGGCTGGTGGATGAGCGAGGAGAACCACATCGCATGGATGGTGATAGCCCCAGCACGTTGGCGTCGTCTAGTTTGAGACCACGCCATCGCCAGCTCATTTCCACCCCGAGCGCTGCCTCAACTGACCGTGCCAAGCGCACCACGGAGTTGGAGATGCGTGCCAAAGCCATTCTCGGAGTGTCATCTTCCGTTGAGCTCGGTCCGCATTCTACTCTGTTGCATCGGACTCTGAAGTAGCATTCATTTTTCTCTGCTTTATCTTTGCATTGGATTGGGTTTGCTTGCTATTCAGGTCTGATTTTTTTTAATACTTTTTTACTTCTGCTCAAAAGTAGCGAAGGGAGTATGTAGATAATAACAAACATGACTGGGAGAAGGATGAAGCCAAACGGGTAACACGGGTTAGTACCAAAGGGAAACTATGTTATTCATAAGATCTAAATTATCCAAATTATCTTCTTGAATGTCCACAAATAACATGAGCAACATATATAAATGTGAATAAATGGAGTTGAACACCTAAGATATTTGACTTGTCTAATTGAACCGGCATCCAACCAACATGAGTAGCCAATACAATAAAGCTAAGAGTGATTGCACTCTTTCAGCCTAGAATAGTAAGCTCTCGTTTACTCACTCTAAAACATATTGAAGTTGGTCTGAAACACTCCTTGAAAGAAGAAAACTATCTCCTTAAAAGAAGAACAGTGTGATTTTGTAAAAATGTAGTAGTTGAGATTCCAATGTTCTTACGACAATTACATTCCTAATGTCGTTATGATTGATTGCATTTGGGTCTGTCGAAATTGCAACTAATCATTTAAGCACTTGTTTCATTTTGTAAATAAAATACAGTTAGAATATGAGAATAGCATCTGCAAAGGGAACATCATTAAAGTCCACATATCACATAAGCTTAACTACCAAGCATAAATAGTTGAAGACTAAAAATGATATCCAATTAGGCCGAAATGTTAAACACGGTGCCTTTTGTTTCTATTTTATCACACACATAATTGAAAAAATCTTAACGCTCAATCTTTATCTTTAGAGTATTTATCATTCTAAAGATAATGTCACTATGAAGTGTTGTCAAGTGTGAAGTGAATGTACCCGAGGAGTTTTTGCGAACAATGCAAGTGATTGAGTAGCACCTTGGGTTGCCACGTCAACCTGTCGTCCTCCTGGTCAACTGTCCTTAGATTGGGTTGGACAGTAGGTTCTATGTGTCTACACACTTTGATCGGTATTATTGTTCCACATGACATATCCGCACATACACACTTACATAGATAACTACAAGCCCCGTAAGCTCACGGGCTACTAAAGTGTAGAACTATATGATTCGCATATACTGCTCACGAATCCGCGCTCACAATACCATTCAGTGTGTGCTCATTATTCAGGGAAAATTTCATGTTTCTCGTGCTCCTCTGAACCATATATAATCAATTGTCGTGCGACATTGAAGAAGAATACAAAATTGCATACGATCTCTTCCCTCTACCGTACTTTTAAGGGCATGTGACAAATAAAGATGTCTCTTCATCTCATTTATCAACACAAGAAGGTGTGGCATCCACTTTACTTTTCGGTGTAAGTCATGATCCAGGATGTCCAAAATTGGTCCAGAAGATGAAAATGCATTGTAACACCATTTATCTCACCAATGAGTTCGGTAACTTCGGTAGCACCTATGATTAATAAACATGATAACAATCTGATTTGCACAAGCGGTTCAATGGCTCCGAAAACCGATCTCGAAATGGAGGTCCCGAATTTTCTTGCGAAACAAAAGTTGAAGAGAAAATCCAGAAGGTATAAAGCTTTATTAGACATGACATACTCTGACTTTATGTCTTGCCCTCTACATCAGGCCGTCGAACAACTGGAGGACTCGACATACTACACACTGAGTGTACGTCCGGTTTATGGAAGCAGGATTCAGGGCTTGGATTAGTTTAACAGATCATGCGACTTCATCTGAAGCAATGAGAAACATGTTTAATTACATATCAGTGTGATACATATATTGTGAATGCATGGATAATACTGATGAAGATAAACATCCGAACTCCACGAGAGAGTAAAAACGATATGTATAGCACTCGATTGCAAACATTATAATGATACACCGACTCCCTTCTGTGTGAAGTAGAAAGAGTTGAACTCCAGTATACCCCATATCCATATTCTTACAAGAGTATGTAGGGAAAAGGATGCTTGGACAAAATCAGGTGATTAGATCAAAAAACTGTGAAGGTGAGCATCAACTGTTGGACAGAATGTGTATGTAAGACCGATCCACCGAAAAACGAGACTCAAGGGATCTCGATGAAGCGAGTGTAACTAACAGAAGACATAATGGGAAATGACAGGCCAATTTGGTTGCGCTTTATACATTTGTGAAACCTCTACAATCACATTTACATTTACAAAGCCTCCTTATTGCATCTACAGCTAAGCCATTCGCTCCTTTGAGAGAATGATCGAAGTCTTCGTCAAATACCGACACTACAAGATGTTGGCAAATGGGTCTCAAAATTTCAGAGGCATACCATGTACATCCTCGGTGAGCTGCAACTGATCTCCAGTTCTGTATTGTCTTCCCTCCAGACCAAAAATAGCTACATTCCTTTGGACCATATTGAATGTGATGTCTTTAAGCGACACGGCAATGCATCCGAATAAAAGAAATAACCATTCCTGCAGTCCAAGCAAAGACGGGGATAAGAGGCATAAATAACTAGTCTGGATGACGTATGGGAAAACATCAGGAATATCTACAATATCCATATTCTAAACCCAAAACTTGACGTTTGGGTTATTCAGATAATTGTGGTACGTGTGGAACAAATTGGAAAAGAAAGGGGAGTACATGGGAATATCTATTTGCATATGGTACGATCGAGGACCCCTAAAATATGAGAGGATAGTCGCTGCTCAAATACCACATACGAAGAAACGTGTCCAACACCTATGACCAGCATCAAGTTCGTAACATACCTCATGATGTCTTTGAGATCGCACTAGAATGTTTTTGGGAAGGCTACAACATGCTTGCTAGTCCTGCCAGCCACAGAAGGTGCAGAGCTGGACAAGACCCGGATTGCTGTGAAAGTTGGTGCAGGCTGCCACAATCAACGGGAAATGGCAAAGATATAGATCAACTCGTGGGTTTCTTGCTTCAGGATGAAATCAAGTGCCTTAAATGGTTTACTCTGAAAAATGCGGAATAGAGAACATACAGTGAACTTTCGACAATTAGCTGCAAGATGAGAGGACTCACGAGGTTAAACTAGGAGCAAATGTCGTCTAGAGTTTTCGCCAAAGAGTGCTGCTCTGGTCCCCTCAGCTTTCAAAATTCTTGAAGCCGCAAAGAAGTGAATAGATTCCACTAGGAGAAAAAGTGCGGTAAAGCTTGGGCTAAGAATCTAATCAGAATCGGAATCAACTCGAAAATAACTATGACGATGATGTCTATTTGACACCGCTGGACTACGGTGTGAATTAGAACGTGGTGAACTGGATTGTATTGCAGGAACCCTTCCATACGGAGGACTGGTTGGAGCGGGGGATAGAGAGTCTACTGGGGAGCCATATGGAGGACTGCTGTGGGCTTTTGATCTGTTCTCAGCTTGGCCTGAACGGGAGTTCATTCCGAGGAGGACTTCGGACGCTGCACAACAAAGACCGGATATCATACACTTGAACAATAGCCTGAAGTACGCAATCTGCAAATAATAGCAGGGGGGCAACTATTTCACTGAAGTACTCCTGCGAAAACGGGATCTGACAGAAATCGTTTCTATGACCCAAAACCTGCGATTGAAAACGTGACCAAATGGACCTGAATTTCAACGGGATGGAAGAATATTTCCTGCATTGAACAGGGGTTAGAAACTCTGCAGAACTCCCATGACATAACTTCCATATGGAAAGATATTGTACATTAATCGAAGTTCAATGCGGTGCAGCCATTGTAATGAGTGCGCAATAATTGAGCTGAATTAACGTAATATCTAAGTAGTTCTAATAGTGACTCTCAATTTTTTGGCACAATTTAATTAGTCTGCACTATTAGACCAGACAGCGTAGATTTTACACGATTCCTGATTAAGGGGGCTCACACAAACTACTGCTTGGGGTATAAAATTTGGCCTTCCAATTGGTGTGGCCCACACCAATTACGAATAGGAATGTAGTATAGGAAAATAATTGAATCTATCTACGTGGGCGTATAGTAACTTTGGGATCAAGCCCTTCATCAGCAAAGAACCTGATGCAATGCCTACAATTCTGTGGCAGGCTAGAAACCGATGTTCTTCGAAAACTTTTCAGAATTGATGCACACATTCAAAGAACAATTGCAATAAAAAATTCGAGGGCTTGACACGCAAGAAGACCGAAGAGAACAGACATGAAAGCTAAGCCATAACGGCTCCATCTAAGTCATAACACGATGCATAAGAACACTCCGATGACAGAACTGGAGCCAGGTACATTTCGAAAAACATCCTAGCCACGTAGAAACCAATTCGGGTAACTGATGTCGTGAGACTTTACGAGATCGATAATACGACTGAAAGATCAAGTCCAACGCCGTATCAACGAGTGGTCAAGGACACTGTGAGAAACAGGGACTTGCTTTCGCGCACTCTGGACTTATCAACCCGAAGAGCCAACAACAGAAAAACGTAGAATGCCTCACCTGTTTCTGCCAAAGAATCAAAACAAGCCCTTCCTTGAGATGCAGGTCGTTGCTTGTCTCGCCTAGCTGGAACTGGATTTGAGTTGTTGTCATGACCTGGTATACTGAGCGAAAACCACGTGTTGTCGACTTCCTCATGAGGTTCTCGAAGGCTCGGCTGAGTCTGAGCTCGAGCGGGCTGATGAGGCAGCAAGAGCCGCAACGGACAATCCCTAGATGTAACAACAAGTCCCCCATCGTTGCTGGCGCCGTTACATTCAGAATTCGACTGACTGCGAGTGGGTGAGCGCCCAAACTTCCAACCAGTGCTCCTCCCGGGGTCCCTAGTTTGCTGGTTTGAAGTCAATCCATACGGACCTGCCACAGCTTGCACCGCCGTTGGCCTGATAGGAGGATTGTGCTGAACAGAAGACGAATTGATGTGATCCGATGAAGTCGAGAAGTAGTTATATGGCCCAGTCGACGGCCGTATCGCAGGTGGCCACATAGAGTCTAGAGGCAGGCCAAGATTTCCTCCATTATTAGACTTGTTTTCCATCGAATTGGTAAGTCCACGAGTAGAAAGCAAGGGATTTACAAGAGCGAATGGTTGCGGAATGCTGCTAACAAAATGTTCATCATCTGGATTTTCCTGGGTATCCCTATCTGGAGATGCTGGTCTCGTCGATGTGGGCCTACCCATTGTATCTGAACCTGCGTAAGCTGACGCACCTGAGGAACCAACAACCATGATGTCCCCGTCCTCGTCATCTGTGTCACTAAGAACTATAACGTCTGCTGCAGGCTGCTTTTCACTAGGCCCAGCTTTGTTGGTGGGCCAGGCACTGCCAGCATGTGCACCTCTTGATGAAAATTCTACTTCATTTTCGTCGAGATAGCCATTGTTTTCGTCTTTTTCGCTGGGTTCCTGTTCCTGATTCACGCTTCGTTCACCATCCTCTCCGTTCTCTTCATCGTTACTATCAGTAGCGCTGCTACTCCGAGATATGTTGACAGTAGGCTTTGCTCTCTCGCTTGGCCCGGCGGCGTTGGCTGAAGCCCATCCATTCGCCCGTTTCGCGGGGCTCACCGCCCATTGGCCGTCAACAGCTCTCTTGACTCCTATCATCAGAGAACGCGAACCCCTTTCATGTGAGACACCTTCTTCCAATTTTACATGAACCAAAGGTATTTTTTGTTCCTTCGCAGAACCATTTGCAACCACTACTGTACCATCAGGTGTACGCCATGGATCTCGAGACTTCTCTCCCTCTACTTTTGGCCGCCACAGACCATCCGGTTTGAGCTCAACTTCAGTCACATCTTCCGCATAGCCCTTGAGCTACAACGTATAACACACACAATAGACGAAGTCAGAAGTCTTGTTTGGGTACGAACACGACGCCGAAACGATCTGGTATAGGCATGACAATAATCGCACAGGTCGGCATACCTCGGTCTTCAGAACAGAAAGCTTCACTATCTCGATATTTGTCATGATGTTACAAAATCGACTGCTTCAAACTCATGACTTTAGGGATTTGTTGGTTATATCAATTTCGCTGATAAGCTTACCGCAGATGTAACTCGATTGAAGTATGGATCGATAACCAAATTCTCCAAAGAATAATTTTTCAAGCAGATAGGGCATTGCCACTGCAATCAGAATGTATGCACTCAGAGAAATTAGATTCGGCTCCCCACTCTCGAAAAGAAAACCGCACTTGAGGAACAGATCATACATGGCCTGGCATATATAATGACTCCCGTCGGTTACGACTAACAGCAGCAAGAAGGCTGTCATTGCATATGTAATACGAATAATACGACTGGAACATGAAACACAAGGAAGTCGGATGATCGATACTGTGAGCGATTTTCTAGAGTTCTGTAATTCATCAACAACGACATGCGATGGTCATGTCAAAGGCCAAAACCCTTTCCCTCTTCCACTAAAGGTACTGCAAACACAATGTCAGGTTTGTTTCGGGCACTTCCAACCACCAAAAAACTGATCTCTCTTGGGACTCTTCAGTTAGTACCAAAATCCTTCCCGTACCTTCCGGGCCCGCTGGTTCATTTCGACAAACGTATTGAGGTCAAAACACCCCATGTGCGTGCAGGGTTTGAAGCGCCCTGCGACTTTGATGCGCCCACCGCTCATCTACATTCAAAAATAGAACTTCGACCAATCAGAAGACTCGCACTACGTTTCGATACAAAATTGTTTACGAAATGTGCAAGCAGGGTCCGGATGTGCAGAGTAGACAATAATACTATCAAAACTACCTAGATATAAACGCAATCCTTGTAGTTAGCTCGAAGGATGTTAAAAAGTGCAACCCCTCACCGGGCATCTTAATGTTACTGATACTGATTCGGCAACCACCTCCAAGTCACTGTCATCTCCATCGTCGGCGTTCCCTTGACCACCACCGTTGAAAGCTCGACGTACCCGTGCAATTGCCTCCTCGAAGTCTTCACCCTTGTTGACGTCTGGTATTGACGCAAGCACCTAAAGACAAAGAATAGAACGTGAAACCCACGTTCAGAGACAAAAGTGGATAAACCATTATGAGCAACTTCGATGTGATGATTCGAGACCAGCTTTAACACATTGCGAGCAAATCAGCACATAACTCAATTCTCCACAGTTTTGATATACAATCGCCATTTTCGTGCGCGTCATCTTCAACTCAATCAATAAGACAGGATGTAACCTGAGCAAGAGTGTTTCGACGTATAATGCGCACACCAATGCAGAATGGTCGAGCATCGTAGGCGGAAAAGGCTATGCGATTGGTTCCATCTTTTGCATACGTGGTGATCTGTCCAAGGCGCGACCAAGGTTATTGTGTGATAATATGTACAGCATATAATAGGGAACGCTGCATACAATGTCATTACTTAAAACTGAACGAAGAAAATACTTCAAATCCCGTGCTCAAGAAAACAACGACAAAGCATGATAATTGCATTAAGGCTCCTACCCCTGGTCCTTCATCGCGACCGTTTGCTCCCAGTAATTGTCCTCCGGGCCTATTAGTTACACGGACAGAAACTCCTGTAACGACAGATAACGAGAAAAGTAGGTAGTAGGAGTATAAGAATGACGTCTACCCATCTCGGGAGGTAAAGCAACATGAAGACCGACTAAGATAACAACATGTTCCGATTCTAGACCAAAAAGAACAAAACGAATCATAAAATAAAGAACTGTCGGCGTAATCCAAAAACACAACTGTAGATTGAATGTCGACGGAAAACCATCTCAATCGTCAAACACATTCCCCTAAAAGACACACTTGTCTTGCACTTAGAGTCGGAGGATCACTGAATGTAAACGCGTCAAATCAATGTTGTGCTAAACTAAGAGAAAAATTTCTTCACAACTTAGACAGAGACAACAAAGATATTCATCCTTCAGAATCACATGATTTTGAAGAATGTACCTCTTTTTAGATCATATGAGATAAGTACGAAAAGATACTAAACATTCTGGGTAATTGAAACAAGAATCAGAAACTCATATTTACAACTAACATCTTATAATGGCATTTAGATATAAGTCTAACCAATGAAGGGTAGAAAATATCGACGCCAGAACAGTACCATTGATCCTAAGGTCAGCAAACGCTGGCCAGTGCATTCGGAACGGGACCTTGTCGTTGAGAAGCACACACCAGACCTGCATTGAAACACTTTTTGATCAGAAAGATGAGAACTACAAAGAACCAAGGATTCTTTGGTCCGCAATATGACTCAATATCTGCCGAACTAGAAGCCCAGCCAAGAAGCTTGACATCCTAAAGAGAGCCTCACAAAGGCAACCAACCTGGAGGTCATAATTCGGTCTGCTTATCATGTCTTTCTCGTTCGTTGACAAATTGAAAGTCTTCTCCACATTCTGCATTGGACTTTGGCTGTGAAAAATTACCCAAACAGATTGATGAGAATTTCGGTAGAGCAGTCACAATGCAGCTCATAGATCGTTCTTAATTCAATCTTCACTGGGGAAACAGATCATAGTGAGTTCATGTTCACATCATTACATGCAAACTGGTGGAAACTCACCCTTCTGTTCTGGTCCCGGTGGTTTGCAACTTTGTTGCAGTTATTGGAGTTACCGTTGCACAAAATCTGAAAGACCATCGTAGCATTAGAAACATAGTGGCTCATGTTGTTTACAAGTCCTTGATGTCAAAGAAAAAACTCGATCACACGACTCAAGAGGTGGAAGTCTTCGGAAGTCAGCCCATTACGTTGGCTAAATCTCAATAAAAGCTTTGACCAACAAATTATCTCCACGGAATACCATCAAATCAAATCAAGTTCACAAAAAACAAGTCACTGCGTGGATCATGTCCCTCAGAGGTGACTTACGGATCACTGCGGTTGATGCGGCATTGCTCGCAATAGAAAGAATTCGGAACTTCCGGTTCCGCTTTCTCGTCAGCTTTTTCTGGTATCACCACACAATTGATGTGTTGCCAAACTCCACATTTGGCCTCATCACACTGCTTGCATGAGAAAACAAGCGACAAGCTTGATTAATTACTATAGTCATCGGGGGTCCTCACGTCTACATCAATATGTCATGGTCTGACGGAAAAACACCTCTTACACTGTCCTAAAAGTTCTCTTGACGAGAACATACGAGAATATATATTGTAAAAGGGAGATGTCTCACCTGAATCATCGTACCCATGTCCCTCGAGTTGCCACAAGGGCATCGTGTTTTGCTGGCTTCCAACCCACCAGCTTCGTCGGGCTCTTCAGATCGTGCGACACTACTTGATCCTGCTCCTACGTCTTTCTTCCCAGCAGATGCCAGGTCGGGAGCTGCAGAGCCCCGAAGCTTTCTGCACAAAGCATAATACACACTTCAAACGAGCGGCCACGTAGAAGGCATCTAAAGTGTCGATGACAATTGGTGATGGGTACATCAATTCATTTCGCGCAAGTGGGAACGTTCGATCAAAACTAATACGAAAGGAAACAACAAATTTTACCAAGTAAAGGCACGTGCATTTGATTTAAAGAGCTCAAAACTTGTACAAACCTGTATATGTCGTCAATGACATTCACACAATCTTCTCTACTAAGGGCATTCTTGTTCGCTCCCCGACCCAGACCTGAACGATCCATTTTATTCGGTCAGGACTATGGCTCTCTCATCCAAAACCAAGTCATCATCCTGCGAAGCAAAGTGCCTCTTTATTCTGTGAATCCTGTATCCTTCCATTACTATACAGTATCTTTCCTTGACCATAGCAAATGATTTTCACAACAAAAATAAATGTGAGGGTGCCAATGGACAACACACGAAAACCCATCATCATGTCGTTCAATGTGTAGTAGAAGCAGATATTCTATACATATCAATCGAGCATAATGTTACCATTTTTCATAAACTAAACAAATTTTAGAGAGGAAGACGGCAAGAAGCACACGACGCTAGAATATTGGCTACTAGTTAACTCTACAGACAGTGACCGGAAATCGATCACAGGAGAAGACGTTAAGAGTACACAACAGTGTCAACTGTTACGTCGTTGACATAGTTGGAACATCTGTGTTGGAACATCGACGTTGCCTACGAACGTTCCATGGCGTGAGCCTAAATACCATGACTATTCAGCGACCTCATCTCTTCGAGACTTCGGCTTCCAGAAAATGCTGAGAAGCATCCCCAGATTCACATATTTCTGCCATCTTCCCGGGAATAAGTTTGAAAGATAGCAGTATGGATCAAAAGACAACAAATATTTTGTCACTTATCAGACATTGATCACCGTCACTGACTTACACTGAACATGTAAAATTGTCAGAAAAGAGACTGAAAGCTATTCTTTGTAAGCAGCCTCTAAGCATCAGCATGACTTGCTGTTGAGACATAATCCTACTATTGCACATCTGCTTCGAGGCATTTGTTGTCAAGACACGCTCAAGATGAAAACGTACTTTTAAGAGCAATAGCTGGCCTCTCTGTTGGTACAAGAACTCCCATTATCTTTTCCATGAGAACCTGTACAGAGACATCGGCGAGTTACAAACAAAATTCCTAGCCTCAACAAGTTCTCATGCCAGTAGTTGGAAAGAGTTAAAAAGAGAAGTGACCTTGTCAACGTAAAAGTTCCTCAGTGACGATGTTCAAGATTTGATAACAATACCTGCTTCTTGCCCTGCTTGGGAAGTCCAAGTCTAGAGAGTACGTCCTTCAGTTCTCTAATTCGAAAAGAAGCCAATTGTTCCTGCAAATTTGTAAGAAGTATAATTACCAGTTAGGTACTGGAAGTTGGCAGCCGTTGCTTGGCAGCACACAGTTCCTAAAGTAAGACCGCCATGGTCCAGGAGAAAAATCCGAAAACTTCAAAGATTGAGCAAAGCTTGTAGAGGGAACGAATAATGTTCGGTCATACTAGTCAGGAAATCGAAATTTCCAGTCCTCGCTAGAATAATTCACGTTGATATATCGAGGCTATTCGCACAACTTTCTATCAAAACTCTTCGGAAGTGCCTTTATATGCAATATGACAACTACTTTACGATGTTGCCTTCGTCTATAGGTGGACGCGCCTGGGGTGAAAAAAGTACGTAGTTCAAAATCTTGAAGCTCACATTTCATGAATACACAACAAACAATCAAGTAAATGTTCAGCTATTTCAAATAATGATGGGAGAAGACAGCGGCGAAGTGAACTCAGGACGAGTTGCAATTGAGGAAATCCCAAAGCGTATCCAAGAAAAGTTGAAGTACATTTCTTGCTTATGTGAAAATTATTCCAATTTCGTATACAAGTTGCATGGAGTATGTGCAATACAGAGTATATTTTGAAAACATATCGAGCAATTCAAGGCTATGACTTCATTTCATACAACCAATCTCAGAACTCTCACGACTGAGGTGACCTACATTTCTTCTGTGGGGCTGACAGTAAATCTTGAAAGCCCCAGGTTCAAGCTCAAACTCAATCAAGAAAGTCTATTTCGTTATATCGAGTACCTTGTCAGAATTCTCGTCAAAACCGTTCTTTCCGAACCTTCCCCAGAGGATATGACGGCATCCTGCCCTTCCCCAATTGAACTTAATGGACAATCATTTAGAGATGAAGAAATATTGATGATGACTGGGTCGACTAAAAATGTATCACTCCCTAAGGACCTGACGATGCGAAACTGCAACTCAAATGTCCTAAGACCATCGAATGAGAGGTATTCATGACAAGTGATGATGGAAACTGACAAAGTTACTCAAAATATAGATTCAAATTTGCGATAGAGAAAGGAAGATGGATAAATAACAAAGGGTGTTTGTCCTACCGTAGAAAAGTGGTGCCCGGCAGTTCCTATATTAGTCCATAAAAAAAACCGAAAGGCTTAAGTTCATGGTAGATGAGAAACAAGCCCTACATACGACCACATTAAAACTACGAAGTTGAAATAAAGGTACAAACAAAAAGGAAGTGAAATATATCTATTCAGAAGCAGACAGGACCCATCACGACAAGAAAGGTTGAAACGACGTCACACGCACTCTATGGAAAAACTTGAACCGACGTCGCACGCACTCTATGGGAGAGGTAATGACAGAAAATAGATCAAGATCTTTTCAAGCAACCACCGGTAATGAGGTCACCGCAGGGGAAAAAAGAGAGAAAAGATTGAAGGCAACGTTCTCTCCTCTCACCAATGGGAAAGTTCTACTTCAAACCTACGTCGTTCGCTCGCAGTAAAGTATACATACATGTGCACCGCTACCAGCTAAAAGCATGTAAACGATGGCTGAAAACCCATAGCTAATTGCATTGGACGTCTCCAGTGGGAATGAGATCGGTCAGCCTTTGCCCGTCATCAAGAAAAAAAAAAAGGAGTAGCATATACATTTACAAACCATTCTGTTGATTTCTTACAGAGCTTGACTTCAATATTTATTTAGTAGGCATGAAAATCTCAAGCCTCATATCTTTAAACTGTAATAACCATGTCCATGGTGACCATATAAAACAAATATGAGTCAACAGACGTATTGTCCTGGCAGGCAAACTGTGCGTTTGCAACTGAAAAACATGATTTAGAAAAAAGAACTCTGTAGAACTACTCTCATAGCATTCACTGCTCAACACACCTGAGCAATATGTTGTAAAACGAAAGTACAAGAAAGCTGGGAAATGGGAGAGAAGAAGACGATCGTCAAAAATAAGGCCAACATTTAACCCAACCCAACCCAACCGAGACAGAGAGTGCGTGAGATACTACATGAACTTTACAATTCAACTGTCATATTCAGAATCAGCGGACCTAAAATAATATGGGTCACGACTTCGTTCAAAGACTCAGGTAGCTTCAGCGATTCTGCAAACTACGGTTGCGAGTAAATGTCTACTTCTCTCTTCGGTGATGGTATGCAGAAGCTTACTAGCTTCAAAAAGCCACAACATATGAGATTCTTCCACATCTGTGTTCTATCCAGGTTCTTACAACCAGAGACACTGCAAGACAGAAATCCAATTTACTTGTTTACTTTGTAATACAGCAAGCAATAGAACATAGCTTAAGATCTTTCTTCGGAAAAATGCTTCTCCTTGTAAACCACTTCAAGTTGGGTGTGAGAGCAAGTGTATTGAGTTCTAAATTGGTCCGGGTAACGATTTTTCGACGAATTGCAATTTGTTCCCTTCGACGTAAATCACATGATGAGACGATTGAACCACAACAAGGTATTCTCACAATCCAAAACGGATGTCCATTCATTCAGGGTGAAAAATAAGATCAATACCCGACAGCGAGAAACGTCATCCATTGCGTACACGTGACTGCAAAAGTAAAAGCATTTACGGCTTGACTTGGCGGCTTCCCATTTCAGCAAAGCTCCATCACCCTCTGTATTTTCCTCCCTTCAGACCACAATTCGCCCGTCACCTGTTCCGATTTTACCCATCCTTCGCTAAACGGCGACCCAGTTCTACAAGAGAACATGGTTTCTTTCGGTTGACACTAATCCAGAGGCTAATCTAAGATGCTCCGACACGAGAGCATGAACTGCATCCGTGAAAATTGCAGACTGCCCGTCACAGGAGGAGTTGGCACATCCCGGTGACAACTGCGAGGTTTCAAAAGGGTGCTCGAGTCCAAGCAAGCTAGATTTTCCTCCGTGCTCGACAGGCAGTGCAGACGGCTTTCAGAGATGCATCTAAAAGCTCGTGGACGACCTCGAAGAAGGTGGTCCTGATCACTCGAGCAAAACGGAGGCCTCGACGACACCCTTCGATCGCATTGGGAAAAGCGCTAACAGAAAGATGACACGGGGGTGGTGACAGTGCTTCGGAAGAGCACCAGCGAGTAAGAGAACTGAACTCGGCAACCCTAAGAAAGCACGAGGAGAAACGCGTGAAACAACGTCGGAAAGCGCTGGGACATGACCGCGGGAGCAAAGCGCAGAAAAACGCAGAAGCAAAGCACTCGCGCGACGGGTGCTGGTGAGGAATCTGGGCACGAGGTGTGGACGCAGAAAATATCCCCCGGAATCCAAAATCATGCCCAAAAGAGATAGGAAAATAAAAAGACCTTGTTTGGGCGAGAGAGAGAGAGGGCTACACAGACAGCCGATAGGCCGGCGAGAGAACGAGCGAAAGCATGCCAGACACAAACATACGCAGGAACAACAACTCCACAGGTAAACAAAACAATCAAACAGCTTTCCTGCCAGAAAAGTAAATAATATTATTAAACTGCGTCCTCTCTAATTCGGGCCTTCGTCGCCAGCGCCTGTTCCCGTTCTCCGTCCTCCGTCCTCCGTCCTCGCCACTACCCTCTACCCCGCTCTCCCCCACCCTTTCTCCCCCACCCCTCCCGACGAAGCCTGTGCGACGCCTGTCACTAATGCCGGCGTTTCTGCGGACCAAGAAAAATGGAGCCGAGCCCTCGCGGGCGGTGATTAAGCCGCCACCCTTCGCGCACTCGTCAGAGAGCTGGCACCCACGGGCGATTAGGTTCTCTGCCCTCCGTCTCCACTCTCCACTCTCTCGACACTCTCTGCCCTGCGACTCAGGAGAGGCCCCAAGGAGTATACCCCCGACCCCGCCCTCCCCCCCTGCCCTCGCCCTCTCCCTCCCCCTCCCCGCGCTCGGCGATGGGGAAGCTCGAACTAGAGACGGCGATCGTCCGCTGCTTGCTCTGACCTCCGTCCATCCTTACCCTACCTCACCCACATACGGCCAGCAAAGCAGCCCTGACAGGTCTACAGACGCACCCTCGCCGTCTCGGAATGACCGGCACCCCCCGTCCTCCACCGGCTGCTGTCCATCATTCGAAGGAAACCCTCGCCGCAGGCCAACGCCATCCCGGTAAAACATGACCTTCGGGGACCGGAGAGACTTCAGCTCGGTCCGCTGCTGTAGGGCCGTCCGTCCGGGCCTGGTCACAGCGCCGCAGTCGGCTTCCCGCAGAGGAGGTAACCAGATTCTGTACGTACCGTACCACCGGGAGGTCCGGTCGCGGTGGAAGAGCACTGCGGTCTCGCTTCGCTTCTTCGCAATCGTCCGGGGAACGCATTCGTCCGTTTGCAGCGATCCCGCCATTCGTTGGAAGGGATTTGGCGGAGGCGCTCTGCCTCTAACGCGACGATAGAGAAAGATGAAGAAAGATAAAGAGGGATTTTTACCGGAAAGCAGAGGTCAGGGGACTCCGAGTTCCCTGTCAACAGTTCGATGTGTTCGATCGCCGATAGGAGATTGCAGAGATCGAGATATCTTTCGCGGGTTAATTTCGGATCGCTCTTCAACACCGGGCTCTTCTCTTCAGCGACCGGTGGTTGGAGGTAGTTCTCTAACCAGCGAAGAAGAGACAAAGGTCTTTAACTCGACGGCGAAGATGAGGACAGATCTCAAAGCTCTTCTTCTTCTTCTTCGGAAGGGCTGACGGACGGAGGTCCGTCCCCTCACTCGCGTTACGATACTGCCGAGGACCCGGAGGTCGCAGTCGGACAGAACGGAGGTTTGGTCTCCTGCGGACGTACGGACCACCGCCGCAGCGGTGAGCGATGCACGTCAGGGCGACGGAGGCACTGACCCACCAAATATGGCCACGTGTACTCTCACCGAAGGTATGACTAAACCAGCCTCCAGATTTAGAGGAGGAATCATTGTCAAAACACCGCCGACGACGACGACGACTTCTTCTGCCTTCCCACACATCAACTCACCCGGTCAGCATGCCCGGTCGCCCGCGGCCTTCAACCCTCCCCTCCCTTCCCCTCCCTTCCCCTCCCCGCCAACCTCATCCCGGCCTCTCCTTCCCTGGTTAACATGTACTGTAATGTGGCTCCTCATGCAATACGCTGTAAACGCCTACTCGACTGCGGTATACGCGAAACCTTGTCAAAGTTACCTTGCCCACCTACCTGGTCGACCATACCGTGACTTCCCACATACGGAAGGCACGTCCTCCGGTTAACAGTGAGCTGGGTTGAGCGTCAGTTCAGGTCAGGTCAGGTCAGGGGCAGAAAATCCTTGCCTCCGACCCAGAGGAGGCGAGGATATAGAAGAGGCGAGTCTGCAGAGTGCAATCACTTCCGAATGGAGTACACTGGATTCGAGCCAGACGGCTCTACGGCTCAGCGCTGTAGCGTATATCCCCGGTTCAGAGCAGCTTGTGTAGCAATTGTACCACGTTTCTGAGGCTCTACATATTGTTATGAATCTCTGTTGATCTGTATCTGGACTAGCATGAGGTTTAGAGCCTTGCCATGACACCGATGACAATTCCTGTAGCATTCGGTCTTTTCTTCGAGATCATTTCTTTAATGCAGGCTTTTGTCGCCCGGAGGACTTTTTCGAGCTGGGCTTACTGCTCGGGAACTCGCTATCGTCAGTCATGCAACAGCTTATTTAATAGATCTGGTTTGTAGTTCGTAGAGTGACACGCAAGCGAAGTGCAGGGGAGTACACTATTCACATCTGTGAACAGTTTGCTCCCCTCCCTAGTGCTCTTTTCCATGCTTGCTCGGTTGGAATAGTTTTTCTCACATTGGTCATATTAATAAGCTTACAAGGAGGGGAAATAACAGCTATTTTCCATGTGGTTTCTGTTCACACGGAGGTTTTTCAGGTAACACCTGACCTTTCTTTAGACCTACAAAACATTGGAAAGCAGCGTGGGCGATATCAAAATCGTTTGGTCCTCATATTTTCAATGGAGCTACTGCTGTATATTCTATCGTACCAATCTGTACATCAGTATTTTGCATTGTAAGAATTGAGATTAAAGAAAAAATTACGTGTCATTAAAATATTGATGAAGTCAATTTTCAAGAAATATCTAATATCTGAAATCTGTATACATTGAAATAATGCGTCAACATGTACTACATACTACAATCAATCTCCCACCATTAACGCATCAGATGGGAACAAATATAAGAATGTTCATAGATAACAAACCTCTCAAACAAATTTTGGTACATCTATGAAAAATACAACTATAACCTCATTTGATCATACTCAAATTTCAAATAATCGGCATATCATGAATGTGCAATGATTAAGTTTAAGTATATGGTATCAAAAGCTGTTATCAAATAGTTCATCAACATCAGGAATACATGATCGTGTGCAAGGAATCAAGAATAGATCTTAAAAGCGTATTTGTTTGAATTTATGATCAAAATTTTATGTATTAGAGTGAATGTAATACAAATAAATGAACTTCTTGTAATATTTATTTTACACGTAGGAAAAGATTACAGATGATATTCAGCCTTATCACATTATTCATATTCATCTATGTTCCATAAAGTAATACGATATTAAAGTAGGAATAGTTCAATAAGAAATATATAAAATAATTCTTTCAATATATTATATAAACATTATATAATATTAAAGACATTGTTTTTTGAAATTTCGTCTTGTAAAAAAAATCAAACTCGATAATAATTAAGCATTTTCAAGCCAAAATAAGCATACTATTATCAGAATATCCTTTATTTATCACAAAAATATGATTTTCAACTATGTTGTACTATGAATTCAGCAATATGATAGTGGTAGATGAATGTTGTAATAATAATATATGCTGAGAAAAAAAATAATTCCAGACGTATGATCAACTCACTTCAAATAAAGAAAAGAAGTGCATATTAATGTTATGTCTAATTGTCAAGTAACATTATGACTAAAATTTGGAATCAGCATTTTAATAATTATTCGTTTAGTGATCAGGCCAAAAATTAAATTCATAATCTTTTAAGTGTAGTTTATGTGAGTTTGCGTGCTTGATTCCAATGATGCTGAAATTTTAGATCCCTTTTTAAGTATGATAATTGAAAGAATGAAATAAATAAATATTATTGATAAGCTTTGTAAATTTTTCCAGTTTTGCATGATAAATAAAGTAAACTAATGTGAATTAACATAGAAAAAAAATAACCTTTGTAAAAAAAATAAATAAAAATTTCAATATCGAGCAAGCCTTCGTTAATAAAAAATTAAGACATTATAATATAATATGAATCAACATCTTATTAACATTATTATCATTATTTTGTAGTGATGGTATGCATAAAAACAAAGCTATAATAATTCATAGATTTGAAATATGATGTCATCAATCAAAACAATGATGTCAATCTCAAACAAAAAAAACATAATGAATTCTCAAATATCAATAAAAAGCATCAAATCATATAAATTTGCAAATAATTCGGAATTTGAGTCTTATTTAAAGGTTATGTCCATATATAAGACAAATCAATAAAAAGATTGCTTTATGTTGCAAAAAACTTTTTTAGAAAATACAAAAACTAACTATATGTTTTATCAAATTAAAATATGATTGAAATATGTTCAAAGTATTTTATTTTAATAACTCATATCCAAAAGTGTACTTGAAAAAAGAAAAGATCAATCTCACTTTTACAAAGAGAAAAAAAAGTGAATTAATATAAGAATAAAATTTTTATATTTGATCTATTTGAAGGTATTTTATATTGAATGAAATTAAATTTTTGATGCATAAATTTGTCTTTTTACTAAATTCAAAATCAAAATATTTCTGTTATTTCAACGAATGAAATTGATGATATGAGTTTTGTCATGTAGAAAAAAAAGAGTTTATTTTTGACAATGTAAATTCTATTTCTAAATAAATTGAAACTTATCTTTTGAATACATATTTCAAGATATTCATAACATTTAGGTCATGATTTTCTATATTCAAAAAATTGATATAAAAATTGATTATTATTCGTATTTCAAAAAAAATATAAATATTCAAAAACTATATTTTTTAATTAAAAAATTCATAAAAATCAAATAGAAATTCAAATACAAAAGGTAGAAATCACAAATATTGCAAATTTAATAAATATGAGAAGTTCTTTAGAGAAAATTTTGAAAATCCAAAAAAATTTTGTTTTAATTATGGTTTTATATTTATTTTATAACAATTTATTTAATTTTATTACTGAATAATGAAGAATGAATATATATTATTTAGTTTCATAAAACCTCAAGAAACTATAATATTCTGAAGGTTGCATAAATTTCCCAATATCATAAGTTGTACTGATATTTGGATGGTAGAACTTGTAATAATTATTAAGAATATTACGTAGCTATAAATTGTAAAATTAATTATATAAAATAAGATAAAAAATTATAATATCTAGCTTATAATTCATAAAATTACAACTAGAAGAAGGGAAAAAAAGTTTGATTAAACATTAAAATATCTATGAATTTTAAATTTTATTTTATATCAGGATTTGTCTATATTGATAATGAAAAATGCTAACAGTAATTTATTTCATGCATTTCATTTGGATATTGGATTCGTTATTCTTTGTAGATAAAAATTTGCTTATTTCTGAAATTCTCACGCTGTATGATAGAATATAAAGTATACATCGATATTTGTCTGCAAAAAAATAAAAATAACAGTTTAAGAAATTATAGTATTTATTAAAATTAACGGTACACATACAAATTATTGACCTTGGATGGTCAAAATTGAAAAATATCATAAATCATTGCATTTTTAAGATCAAATTTATGAAGCCAAGAAGGATAAATATCAAGTTTGTTATAAATAATTTTTTTTCTTTTATCAAATTCAGTGTGCAAGTTATTTGACAGCTTCACGTGATCATTTGTGAATTTCATCCCATGACATGTTTCAATATAAAATGAATTCGGTTCATACAACACTTAAATGTAATATTTGTTTTATTGATGAGATTACAATAATATTTGTGCACTTGTTATATTTTGAGTACTGCTATTATTAGATGTATAAGAATGCAGACCTTATGTCTACAGTATTTAAGTAATTTTTCTTGAACAACATCATTAAATGTATAGTTATGTTCAGCACATATTTGGATGCACCATCTTAAGCTTACATATAAAATAAAGTAGAGTTAATCTTAGAGAATTAAACAGGGGTTCAATTTGCTATGTTTATTTATTTTCTTTATTTCAAAAAAAATGAGTTTATATAAACAGAAAATGTATATTTTTGTTTATACGAACGATAGCCTAAATGAAATGATGGAAAAAATAAGATTCATGACATATTCATATGGTCTTCCTTCAAAAAAGTTAATCATTTCTTTGGTAAATTATATCATAAGCTTATACTTTCAAGAAAAAATGTTCAAAACCTAAAAGTTAAATATAATATTGTGATGCAATGTTGTTTGAAGTATTTACTGATACTATTTGAAATTAAAGAGGTAAATATTTCCCACAATAAATTATAAAAGTATGCAAAATATAAAATTATTGCCATCTTCTACAATAGATTTGTTATAATTTAAAAAAATAAATATATGATGACTATAATAATTATAATATAGTTTTTTTGTATCAAAAATTAGAAAACATGCAATTACATAAATAAAATAATATTCGGAAATTTACAATTATATTAAAAGGGAAAACTATTTACTGTATATATATATATATACATTGATTGGAGGATTTTCTTCCTGTGAGGAAATTTCTTTCTCGAACAAAAAATATTTTGAAAATTTTAAGCATCCATAAATCAAAATTTCAAATAACAAATTTAATGTTTATTATCGTTAAATTACAACTTATATACATACAGATATCTTTTCTATGGGTTAGTCTTGTAAACAGATTACTCACCAGTATTCTACAATTAACATGAATAAATTATTGATGTAATTATAAGATTAACCTGTTTAATTTAATACATATATACAGTTCATTGGTCGAAGCTATGAATCCAAGTTAGCAAGGTGCTCATAAAAGATTAATGAATGAACTTGCATAATCTGACTTTTATCAATATTGCAGTTTGTTACATACAGTGCTTAACATAATTATCGTTAATACAGTACTGTACATACCTATTGTGAATACCATAATAAAATCAGACATCATAGTCTGAGCAAAAAATTCGACGTTGAAACAAAATTACATATTTTTTCTTGTGATATACCTCTAATCAATTAAAAATTATTTTGTACAATTTTCTTGAGTCAATATGTTCTGAGTAATGAAAAGATTACCCAATGGACCCAATTTTTGCTAGTTAAAAGGATTCAAAGCGCATATGCAAATGACATGAAATAATACAAGCAACAGCTGAGTAGTTCATTGTGTTTATGACTAGTTTTTACATATAGTTACATCTTATTAAAAATTTAATACCTCGTACTATCTCAAAAATAGACAATAAGTATTATTATATTCTGAGCACATAAGGTATAAATTCTGAAATTTGATAATGCAAGGGTGTTGTAAGAAATTTAGATTGTTATTCCTCTAGGATGAATTGTATGGATAAAAAGTGTATACTGAACAAACGGATATTACACGACGAGGCTTATAAATTATGTGATAAAGATTTAGATTATTGTTTTTCCAGGATTGATAGGCAATAAAATTCTATTTTTCTTCAGAGTTTCGAATAAATAGCAACTAAAAAAACAGGAATGGATCAAAAAATGAAAACAGAAGAGACGCCGTGAATTAGAGTTTATGCGAAAACAGGAGGACATCACAGGCCCTCCATGAACTTTATATCATACAAATATACGTGCAAACTTGTCACGTCCATATAATAAGTTCATACTAGTCCCATCTGGAAACGCTTTAAAGAAGTATGCTTTCCTCATTCAACAGATGTTCACTTTTATCCGGGAAAACTCCCTCCCCTCACTTAAACTTTGAACAAGTGTACTTTGAAACTATTGAAACCCTATTGTAAAGCTAGAGTTTTTATTCAATGAACCCAACTTTATGGATTTATAAATGCAGATAATTACCAAGAAAAGTTTATGTCATATTGGAATGTCCAAAATAAATTACGAGATACGAGGTAAAGTTCCATCATCATTTAAAGGATAGCGTGATTGTGGCGAAGGACCGATAGTCTGGGATTCTTTTCCCATTTACCATCAGACTTGTGGATCATCAATGCGAGGTCATGCGCCGGACTTCGGTTGTATTCGACTCGAGCGTTTCAGTCGGGCACCGAGACTTCGTCAACGCGTTGGACAAGGGCACTTCGTGTTCTGGATGATTCGTTGTTGCAGTCTTTTGGGCTTTCCTGACAGTAGTAACTTCAATTTACCGGCGTTATGCATGTCCTCGCCCACGAGAAAGGAGACGATAAGGATAAGAAGGCGAAGAAGGAGACCCGTCCAATTAAATGCAGAGATGCATGCACGGATATAATTGCTTCGTATAATTCTTGAAAGAGAGAGAGCCAGAAGGAAGTTGCTTCTTGTTCTGCGGGTTGGGGTCATCACATTCGCTGATCACCGAAGGACTTACTTTTTTGGTGCGCTTCGTGGATTTGGATGCGAGTCAGTCGCTAGTCTGTTTGTTTGTTTGTTTGCAAACTTTTTTCCAGCTCTTGCTTCTGTTCCATGGCACTTTGGGTTTGTATTTTCGCACGCTGTCAATCGTACCTTTTTGGATTCGTATTAATGGCTTTCGTAAATTTTTGGAATGGGTTGTCTTTTCTCGCTATTTTGAGACTGCTCGAGTAGACTGTCAAGCTTAAACTCGACAACCACGAATGTGGTTCACCATATGTTGTCGGGGGTTTTCAGTTCGGTAGAATGACTGTATTTCATATGTTTTTGGGAATTCAAATAAGAAAGATATGGTCCTAAATATTCGGAACCAAGGAGTCCGATATGTGAAAGCGATTTTTTTTTAATAATTTTAGCATATTGTAACATATATTTTAGTATACATATACTAGTTGGTGAAATGGATGTGAGTTTAATCAAGTTAGCTGACGATGAATGGAAAATCTTGTAGCATGTACACCATTCTACGTCGATAGTTGGGATATGTTAGCTGGGACAATGCATATTTTAGATCGTGACGTTGTTCGGACCCAGCCCTGTTTTACCCTTTCGGTTTCATCAATGTCCTCCCTCAGCATTTTAATACTTCTTGCTGTATTTATTGGTAGAGATTTTAGATTATTTCCCGTTACACTTACCCTAGTTTCTGTAGTGCGAGTACTATTTTGGCTGGTCCTGAGAGAGATTCACGGGCTCTCTGAGCGGAATGGATGTCCATATGATTCGTCTGAAGTTTGGCTCGTTTTCTCTTCCTTGAGTTAATTCACTGCAAGATCACGGACGTTGGTTTGTCATTTCTGTTGATATTAAATGGACCCGGGAAGTGCCATACTAGGTCAAAGCTGGAGCCGCTGGACAATTCACTATTCTTGGGTCCAGCATTGCCGTTCACATTCCAGCATGGAAATTGGGAGCGTTGGAAACGAGGCTGCATTCTCGGCTCTGTCAATTTGAAAATGCTGTCGACGGTTCTTCGGTGCTGAAATTCTTCGGTGGACATCGGATGACATTCTGCTCGCCTCCATCTGATCTAGTCTGATACATAGCATTCTTGACGAAATTAGGTCATGGTCTTTCACAATTGTGGGATCTATTCGTTTGAAACATACATTGAACATGATTCAACGCAAATCGCAGCGAGCTTTAGTAAAGTTTGGGTCGGACGTAAGGCTTTTCGAGTCTGCTTTCTTTCTGCCACCCCGATCGCGGAAGTCGGACACCTAGTGATCCTCTGGACTCAACGTTTTGACAGTTTTTCTTCAAGAAAAATCTGGCTTCAGCAAAACTGATAACAAATGAAACTCCAAAAGGAACAAAGACAACTGAATGGAAGCGACACGTCGGAATTTGCTATTTTCCTTCAGTAGAGCTCGTTCAGTGGAAATTTTATTTCCGGAAGAAGTGGAGGATTGGTATCCCAAGCTAAGGACCGTGTGCTCCGCTTTATCGGCTTCTTGAATTGAAATATAATGGTGCGCTCTGATAGCCATTCTCGGACACTGGGATTCCAAATGTGTTGTAAATCAACTACCTGTCATTGCTAGACATGTTTACGTATGTGCTCGTGCTGGAGTGCAAATACGACGTCGGAGCTGGGATCCTGACTCGGCTCATTTTCGTTTTGTTTCACGATCTTCTACCTCTCTGGTGGACTACATTGAAGTTTAGAGTTCCGTGAACCAAATCAAACAGGTGCCGCAGTTTTTTGCCGCTTGAGTTACGTAGAAGATGAGTGATAAAGGCGAAGAGGATAGTGGGTCTGGTGATAGTGGCGAAGGAGAAGGTGGAGAAAAAGACGTTGAAGGTAATGTCGATGAAGAGGAAGACACTGGAGAGGAAGGTGAAGCCGAGGACGAAGACAATCAAGGAGAGGGATCTCCTCAAGGTACTGACGAGAATGAAGAGGGTACTCCAGAGGAAAACAATGATTCGCAGGAAGAAACTCAAGGAACTGATGATTCACCTCGTAAACCATCAAGAGGTTATAAGGGCATGGACAAAGAAGAGGTTAAGAAAATGTTGAGGAGACTAAGTAAGTCAGAGAGTTCCGATGGGAGCGATAGTGGGAGTGGCTCGTCCAGCAGTTTTGATGATTCTATCGGCAACAGGAGAAGTATAAAGGTATTTTGGTGCTGCCTCTCTCGTCCTGTTCGCAAGCTGTATTGAGATGCCATGGAGTATATGTTCCATGTAACAATAGTTTCCAAGCGAGCCTCGTTGCATTTACTGTTTCGGACTGTTTAGTTGCTGACACAATACAATTGAGAGAATTTCTCTGTGTATCGCGTTAGGTTTTTTTTCTCCAGTTTGAACTTTCCAGACGAAAAAAATATCTTGCACACTTCCGCCTCAGATACATCAGTTCCTGTGCAGACTCTACAATCATCAGTCATCCGAGATCATGAGCTGCCTATGAAAATTGCTTACGAGCAGCTGGAAGAACTTGCCGCAAATGCAGAGAAGGTGAAGTTTGCTATCGAGAGGAATCGAAATCTTCTGAATGTGCAGGTACTTCATTGACTTTTGTGATTTAAGCCATGGAGTCCCTTACTACGAGGCATATCTGCGAGGATATTCTGTTCATCGTCAATGGATTTTCTTAGTTCAGGTTTCCTCGTTGATGGGAGTCAAAGATAAAGTAGTGGTCGTTGACGATTTGATGTGTCTGGTATAAGTAGAGCTTTCAGCAAGGAAGTTTCAATGTTGTGATTGGTTTCATGCAGGTGAAGAAGAGTAATTCAAGGTACTTGCGCGCTGCTTTCACAGCTTGGAAGCTAGAGCTTAATTGGAAGAAGAGTAAGAAGAGGGATTTGGAATGGGCACAAGGGAAGTGGAAGAGATCTTTAATTTCTCGAGGATTTCGAGCCTGGACCAGGGAGCACTTGGTTACTAGCAAGGTCAGACGGCTTGAGAAGTCTGTGAAGAAGATCTTGGGCCGTCACACCCTGAGGCGTACTTGGTATCCTCATCTCCTTAAAACCTGCACTTGGAGTCGATTCTTGGCCAGTATCTTTCTACAGGTCCTGAGGGAGAAGCCCGTCCTTACCTCAAAGTGGCTCCACAAAATCAGCAAACTTGGTGCAGCCCTGGTGATGTGATGGAAGTATGCAGGAACAACAATGTATGGAGATCGTTCCATTGTGGAACAATGTCCATGCAGTTCCTGGATGGTGTTTCGAACTCAATCAACCTCAAGGGGATCGACAACTGAAATGCTTACTCGTGTCCTCAACTTGGGATAACCTTAAAAGCTCAGGTTGTACAAGTTGAGGAGTCAAGTAAACATTTGAGTGTGAAGTAAGATTGGAGGAGACGCTCTCAACTTTGAGTAATGACATCACTAGCATTGAGTGAGTATAGTACGTATGAAGTCACGAGCACAAGAATGTACGTTGACGTGTTGAGAAGAAAAGCACGATTAGTAGTCAATTGAGAGTACACTGCTGCAAAATAACACTTGCGTTCAAAGAAAAGCAGCCTTTATCAGCTCTAGCACGGTTGGTTTCTAGTGTCTCCCCATTGATTTTGCTCTCGAATGTTTCTGGAATTGTTGAGTTCTTTCTCATTAGGGAAGCTGGTTCCGATTCAGGCAGTGTTTGATAGAAACTTTACAGTTATCTCAATACCTCAAGGTTCAGTGTAACTTACTCATTTAAAAAAAACTGTCTGCTTATACGCGTTTGCAGGAAAGCTTGGTTAGGTCAAGTCAAGGCAAGATTACAAGATGACGAGGATCGCAGGTAGATCTCACTTTTCAGTTTCGACTTTCTCTCTGCCTATTAGGTACATAAGGTTGAACCTGCTGATAGAATTTACTTGGTGATCTGCGCATTAGTGAGCGGGAAGTGAAACATCTAACATCTAACGTTCTCCGTTAATTGGCAGGAGGGAGAGACGACTAGTAAAAGATCTTGATCACAAGCACCAAGATAAAATATGCCGGAGGGCCTGTAATTTCATGTACAGGTGGCGCTTGAGGAGGCTTTTCTTTGGGTTTAAGGTAAGACATCTGGTATACGTTTTTTTGAGTATAATACGTCACAATGAGCCATGATAAAGGTTAGTGAAGGTGTTTAGTCCTGTATCTACTAACTTTTCCATCACAACTTCACATATCTTGGTTCAGGTGTCTTTTTTGTTTGAGTCAATTTTTGGTGAAACTTATACATTTTCGGAAAGCATGTCAAATGCGGCCCACGAACCACCTCTATACACTGGAGTCAGGAGCTATCGATACAACACTTTCATGTATCTCAGTTGTTCTTGATGATCTGTTCATCGATGGGGATAGTCTCGCCCACACCACATCTGTGGTGTGGGCGAGACTCTTTACCACATTTTTCATCGGAATCAGCTGTCTGCCCAGCGTTAGAGCAAGATTGTTCAAAAAAATTGGGCTGATGGTGGAGATTTTGACTAATTAGACATCAGATATTGTTCTCCTTGTTTACCAGACGCTTCCAAAGATCCGGGAAGCCGGATGTTTTATATTACCCTCACTTGATCCAGTATTCTCCTACTCCAGCTCCTGAAACAGAGATTCTGTACTCCGGAGTTGTCCAACAAATTTTCCGAATCCCCAGTCTCACTCGCTGCATTTTTTAGCAGCAGGGATGGATCGGAAGCAGACGCAGATGTGCTGGCTCCGAAACTTTACGTATAAGTTGAAGATGTTGAAGAGCACAGACTTCTTGTGGACGCCTCGTTATGATGACCATAACCATGAGAGGATCTAGCTGAAGGCGTGCCTGCATCATTCCAGTCGAAGAAATATAATCTCCAAGGACTTTTCCCTTTACATTTCCTTCTGCAACTTGCACTTGGTCGTTGTTGTTTGCCTCCACTGAAGTTTCAGCGCATACTCGGATCAGATCTCAGGGCCTCATGATCACGAATAGTTTGTCAATCCCGATAAACTATTCGTGATAAACTAATCCCGATAATAGTTTATCGGGATTGATGATCATCAGTTCCAAATGTATTAGTTGAATCTAAGTAGACCACACATCGTAAATGGACTTTGGCGCCCGCATACAGAAACTGCCTTTGTATCTCCGCATGTTTAGAACATTAGACATGAAGTCCCACATTCTATAAATGTTGGCCAGGTTCTCGCCTCCAGAATAAGGAGCCCAACTCTCCCTTTCTTCGTAGACGCATGATGGTCAGAAAACCTGGACAGCTATTTAATCAGAAGCCATGGCTGTAAATTCAGCTATCACGCTTTTAAATCGATAACCCTTGTGAGGAGGTCGACAACTCCGTATCAAATGTTTCCGTCACATCCTGATCGTAGACTTGCATAGACTTGCAAATATGCAATCATTTCTGAAAATCAAGCAGCCTCACCAGGATCATATATACAGCGGTCTTTATACTCGTCATGTGGATATTAAAGGTTTTCGATTTGATGCTATAAAACTCCGATTGATCTCATCTTTGTGCAAATATTAACCACAGTACTTTTCTCGTTTTTTCCTCCTACTTAGTCTTCTCCATATGCTCTTCATCTACTACTCACTCGCTTCATACTAGCCCCGCAGGTTTATGACAGGTACATACTTGGGAGTACAGTCACAATGTTAATTACCTTGCATATTAGGTTGGAACTACAGAAAGAAAAACCAAAACATGTGCTTTGGACAGCTGGTTTAGCAATGTCATGTATGTATGAAAGTTGTGATTGAAGAAGACTGCATTACTGATGTAAAATCACCTCAACAGGATGGATGTGATATAAGTCGCATGCAGTTTCTGCGGCAACTCGGAATACACAAGCTGTTACAAAAGAGGAAGTTGAAACGTATTTTGGCTGGTTGGCAAGACGCAATCCTGGAGTCTATGGCCCTTCGAAAATTTCTCCAGTAATACATTCCTTCATTTACAGTATGCTGTATTATAGCCCGCGCTTTTGGAAGTCTTCATGAAACCCTCTACAGGGATTAGTAGTACCGTCAAGCCAGAGGATGGGTCAATTTCCTTCAGGCTGCGACACGCACTTTTGAGTATGAGTACAACTTTTGTGAGGTTATTATACTCAAGGATTAGAAAGAACGTAAGGGAACTTCCGCGGTCCTGTGTGAGGATGGCCACGCTGGATTTTATGACCAGTATTCAGCCTGAAAAGAACATTTTAAGGAGGGGTTAGAGCCCTAGATAAGTTTGCTTACATATTGCAGGTGTGGCTTGCATCCGGGTTGCTGCGACTAACATGCTGTTAGATCCTGCACACTTCACCATCAGTTACTATATTGATGCTGTGGTGCTGTAGGAGAGCAGGACGAGACTGCGGTTGAGGACCTTGCGAAAAGCATTTCATGCATGGCGATCAGTTAAAGGAAGAGGACCCGGGGATTTAGGTGGTGCGACAATGTCTCGTGATGAGTTTTATCAGAAGTATGCTAAAAACGTTGTGGCAGTAGCGTTTGCAGCCTGGGCTGGAAAGGTCTCCCATAGGAAGCAAGGCGAGGAGCACTTGAGGTCTGTTAGTTTGTCTCTTGACCGACAATTGTTGGGTAGGGCCTTTGATGCTTTTGTGGATGGGTGCCATATCAGCAAGCGTAGGGATTCTCAATCGAAGCATGTGGTGGGAAAGTTGCAAAAGTGGAGATTGAACAAGTATTTTCAGGCTTGGATATGTTTCATGCAGGTAGCCTTAAGCCTTCTCTCCGAAAGGATTCTCCAACTCGTTGCATGATGACTCCTGAGTTTCAGATTAGGAGACTAATCGATAAAATTTTCAAAAGTAGACCGATCTGGAGGCGTCCAACATAAATAAGAGAGAACCCCGATTTATGCCTTCTTGGATCTCCTTTCTCTTCCCGTCTTTTTGCACTTTCTGTATGTATCCGTCAGCTGGTCGTGTCTTTCGGTTAAGTTCTCATGCATTGCATTCTTGTTCCATTTTGCTGGCCAATCTTATGTAATCTTTCACTCATCAACTCCTCCTGTCTTTCGTGGCGTCTTTGTCTTTGCAGTTACAAGCTCAAAAGAAGATGGGACGCCTGCAGGAACATATTGTTCAGGTCGAAAAGGAAAATGACAGAGTGAGGCAGGAGAATCAACGGTTGGCCCATGTCATAGACTCTGGTGATTGGGGCAGAAAACGTATTGCGGAGTTACTACAAGCAGGACAAGTACTTTCTGCGGAAAGGGATGCATTGACTCGCTTACTAGGGAGAATGCAGCGACAACATGGTTTTGCCCTAAATCAGCAAAAAGTTCACCAGGAGGAAGTTAACGAATTGAAGGAGCAGATTCTACGCAATGTACTATGTTCTAAAGACTCTTATTCCCTGTTGGGTTGTTTATGTAAACGCAATAATTCATTTCTATGTGAGTTGAATCTTTTATCCTTTGGTATGAGACGGTATGCACACTCTCGGGTCGATCATAGTGTTACGCAGTACATGTACGTGTAAGTAATAAGTCTATCCAGATGGGTGGAGCACTGTATAGCAATCTTTTCCCAGAGAATATAGAATAAATCTCCTTTTTCCGGCGAGACGGATTGTGGGAATTTTCAGTTGCTTTTTTGTAAGTACTCAACCGGATTATATTCTCTCAGAAGCATCATGTGCGTAACAAGCTTCTCGTCAAAGGAGCGTCCAGCTTCAACTCTCTCATTAAGGCCATGAAGGACGATGTAAGTAGTTATGGACATGCCAATGACCACTTTCCACCTCCATGCTCGACACGCACGCACGATATCAGACTTTGCATTTACTCTGTGCTAACCTAGAGGTGTTTGTGTATGTCAAAATCTCGAATTACAAAGTACAACCACATTACGATGTGATTATTTGCTTGGATTTTACGTTGATTTTCATGGGTATTGATTCTGTGGCTGTGGGGAACAATCTTTCACCTTAGACTGGAGAAAGTTATAGCATCTCCCCATCTGATTCGATGTATTACAAGCTCTTGTTGGTAAGAGCGTAAGAGCAATCTTCGTTTGTTCATTCCTATATGCGATATGCTCTGTACAAAGGAAACAATTGTATTGCATACTTCCTGTCTCAGAAGTAGGTTTGAGGCAAACTTTATGCCATATACATAGCATACACATCTATCCCATGTTTCCTTTTTTTTTTAATGGCAAACAGCAAAGTGGGTCTGTAATAGTTACATCGTTGTATGCTTAAGTCAATAAAATCAGTTGCTGGCGGTAGTGTCTTACTGCTCACGAGTTTGCTGCTGTTGATGGTTGGTAGACTACTCTACGCATGAAAATATTTTGCCATACCTCACTTAATAGCTATCGACATTTTTGTTGATAGTTTTGCAAATCGCAGTAATTTTCAGCAGACATTGTCTATGCGATGCGATGTCATTTCTATCTGTTTACTTTACAGTAGGTCCGTCTTAGAAGTACCTGTCATTAACTGAATCTCCGTTGTTTTTCTAGTGTTATGTATTCGGCGGGAGTTTTAATTGCTCACAATTAGATGTATCAGTTTTACGTTCTGCATTTCACAACTTGACATCTTGTCTGATTCTTTCATTTTTCCAGTTACTAATGTAGTACACAAGCTTTCTGAACGTTGAGTGTTTATGTAATAGCTTTCTGGATATCGCTGCTCCGGTTGTGTTGACTTGGTCGTCACACCTGCTAATTATCATACCGAACTTAATGATGAACTAAGTCGTCGTTAAGTCTGCTTGTTATATGAGTTTCAAGGTTATCACATTCATAATACTTGTTGACTCACATATATCATGAATAAGCACTTTTGAAACTCTCGATGGTTAATGATAACCTCTTGTTGTGATGGCGGGTATCTAGCAACTCAGCGGACTCCCTCACCAAGGTAGTTCATGTCTCGTGTTATTCAATATTTGAAACCTGTCTTATATTATGTCAATTTCGTGCAGGTTTTGAAGAATGGAAATGATTCTGAACTTCTTTACTCTATCGATAAGCTCGCAATGGACGAGGTATACCCTTCAAATTGTGTGTCCACATCTAAAAAGTTTGCTGTCACTTATCGGGAATGATTGTGTCGATTATCTAACATTGATCGAGTGAACATTTTTCTGTTTGATTCGGCAGGTTACTGTCTTTCCTGATGGGGATCTTCATGTGAAAGCTGTCCCGAGCTTTAATAGAGGGAAAGGTAGTTGGCCATCACGCCATTCGAGTCCAGGCTCAACAAAATCTCAACAAACTACCCATGCTGAAGTCACTCACCAAGGACGAAGAAGTCCAACTCCAGCCAACAAGTCAAAAATCAGGCCCAAGACACCCGTGCAGGCCAGCAGTAATCATCAGGAAGTCCCTGTTACTCCCGTTACACCTAGATACGTTAGATCGAGGACCCCTATTAAGGGCCGAGCATATGGTAAGTTTGACTACACCCGAAAGCTAGATGGCACTAGGGAACAACCAGTAGCGGCCAGAGTCCAAAGCGGAGACCGAAATGTTCTGGTTAAGGGGGCAGGTTATACATCTCCAAGACCTGCGTCGTGATTTTGTGCTCCAGTAACACTGTCGGAGTTTGGCCTTTTGGCAGTCAGTGGGTCGCGTGTAGGAATGTTCTCTTTTTTGATATCGAAGATTCTGTGGGTTGCTAAGTTGAGAGGGAAGACCACTGGGCCAGGAGTACCTATCAAGGAATTTCGAAAGCACCTGGAGTATCTTGCTCATAGCGGCATGCTTGAACCAAACAGAAAAAGGTCATCGGCAATAGTGAAAGAGTGAAAGAGTAAGCTGTACTCATTAGTATTTGACCGTCATGGCCTGACCATGGAACGCGTCTGGGAGGTGCTGACTGAAATAGGCCTGGAAGAAAAAGATGGCATGAAGGAGGAGGAAAGGAGTGGTCTCGGTGGGAAGTAGTTCTGCTTTGATATGTAGTTTGCTGACTGCAAACTCTTTTCTTGGGTAAGCGGAGAGGGGAGTTCTGTATGGAAGAAATTACGAAGAATAAAGTGAAGAAGTGAAGGATTTTAACATTCGCCATACGTAAAATATAACCAATTGCAGTTTTGTCCGTACAGATCTTATTGTGGGCATTACAATTTTGATTTTTGAGAAAGCTTTGTGCTCTCCAACCCATGCTCATGTTTCCACACCATTTCATGTACGGCATGCACATTAGAAGAATGAGTCAAGGATGGTTGAATGTCCAATTGGACGCACTGATGGGTTTCCTGTCATCATGTTGGGATGTATCTCGGGTCTCTTCTAAGCCCGATGTTCATGCTGTCGTTATATTTTTGCACTGGGTATATTCTATTGTAATTATGTATATATTATGTATGATTTGCCAAACGTTGGGCATCTGGTAAACAAGGTTCCGAGCACCTTTGATATCATCTGAATGTAGAAAAGTTCTTCAAATCTGCCTGTGGCTGTAAATTGGTGGTGCAGTGGTAAGTTGCTTGGAATTTTTTTTCTCCCCTACCGGTGCTTGATACACGCTGTTTTATGTTCCCGATTCTACTGTGGTTGATGGGCGATCCGTGCAGGTTTTCTTATAGTAAAATTAAGACATCGCTTGTGCATCTTTATGTGCCTTTATCTGTCATGGTATCGTCATCCACCAACGCCTGTGATCAAGTTCTTATTTAATATTGTATAGTGGTGAATAATGCAGAAATGACGCTAATTGTCCTAATTGTGTGAGTCGTTATGAACGCAATAGTTACCCATTACAAGTCGAGGATTATATCACATTCCTCATGAGTTCCATAGTTGGAGGGGAAACTCGAGCTGCAGATTCAACGTTACATTTTGTAACATCATTTACTCTTATAAAAGAATTTCAAGTTATAAAAATAAAAAACATAATTGCTAATAGAAAGAAAATATTCACTTAAAAAAGAGTAAGCCAACAAAACAGAAAATTTTGCGAATTAAAATTCTTAAATTATATTACGAAGATTATATGCCAAACTTCATATGTTATGATCACTAGCATAATATAACTAAACCTAATTGAAACAAATAATTAAAAAAAACTTTGAATTCCAAGTTTTGCAAACTGATTTTTGTTCCTTGTACAACTTGATAGATAGTTTCGAAAATATGATATTAGAATACAATGTGATTTTTTAGCTTGGGGATTTTATATTTTTTGAAATTATATCATCTATTATATATTTTAAAAATAAATCTATCATTTATCAAATATGTGATATTTTCCTTATCTTCGAATTTTTTTTACTGTACTTGCATTGACATATTTTGTGAAAATTATTCATGTTGCAAATATGTTACAAAAAAATTAAAGATAAAACATGACTATTTGGGCAATGTGCCAACTTTTGTGTGTGCCGATTTCTAATCACATTAGATTTCAATAAGTGATATTAATTATTTTTTAATTTATGGTTTTTTATAATATTTTAAAAATTATATGAATTTATTGAAAAATTTTCGTTACTGCAAATTTATTTACAAATATTTTTCAAAAAAACTTGAATTCAACATGACTCATATTTTTTTGTGCAAAAGTTCCTATATATTTTTAAAATCATTAACGACCAGGTTAATTTTCATTTTATAATCTTCATGAATAATTACTTATATAAACTGAACTAACTAAAAACACGTAATAATTTTTTCTAATGAAACATGTAAATTCATTTTGATAAAATTAATTTATCATTATTAAAGATTTTGATTATCTATGTGAGTTCTGTATTCAATACTAGGTTTCGTTTTCTTTCCAGACAGTGAAGAATCAAAACTATTTCCTATTTAATTCCAAAACTACTGAATTTCTTTGTCTATCATGACTATATGATTGTGTAAATGTAAAATTTACATTCTTGAACAAATGTTTTATGTGATTAGAATACTGTTGTCTTATTACGAATCATATAAATATAACTTCATTCATAATTCATTGATGTATCAAAATGATTTTGAAGAAAGATGGGTAAATTAAATATTATTTTCAAAATAAGATGTGTCAAAATGAACAATACGAATTTTTATTGGACTTGTAATTCTCGTGACTAATTCAAGATTCATAATGAAGTATTTTGGTGGAAAATCACAGAAATCAAAGAAATAAAATTATAAAACTGATAGAGATCTAGAGGCAAAAAATAAATTAAATAACAATTTGAGCTAAACTATTGAACTGAAGCGACCAATGTTACTTTTTCATTGCAGAGGACAAGAGGTTACATTTAGAGATTAATTATTTCTCTTCGTCAAATTTTGCAAAACATATGTGGTACTTTAAAAATATACTTGTGCATTACGTGTCATCCTCAATCAATTTTTTCTTGAAATCTGAAACTTTGTTGAAGAGAAGTCATCAAACTTCATGGATAAACTCCTCTATCTCGCCTTTGGCATTCATCAAGAAGATAAGGGACATTTGACAGAAATCGACATTGTAAATCAATCCATTCAAGACATAAGCAGGATGAGAGGATTATCGTGAACAATGGATCAGTAACATAGAACTCAAGTGGAAGAAGTTGTTCATCTTTTTCCACTCCATGGGCTCTGGGCGATGCCACCTGCTGCCAAACCAACCAACCAACCGAACAGACAAGCTTGTCGCCACGAAGATCCAGTTCGAGCACAATCTGTGAAGCATCGATCCAGCAAATATCTCTTCGACGAATTCGCAGTTCGCTTTTGGTAGTCGGGGAATTGATGTGACCAGGATTCCGTCTGGGAGTGACCAAAGCAAGGTGGGGCCCGCCGGGGTCGAGCTCAACCGCGTGGGCCGAATGACCAGGAGAAGTACCACAGTACAGGAAAGCGGAGGAGAACTGTGGACGATAAGAGACGTGAGGCTACGTCGTAACTTGGACGCGCGGTCGGTCGGCAGGGTCGCGGCACGGAGGGAGGGAGGAAGGAGCAGGGACGCAATGAATTCCAGGAGGTACTGAATTATTGGGAGAGAGAGCGAATGGAGGACGATCTCGAATTTGGCGTGGAGGAGGAGGACGAGGAGGTGAATAGTCTTGCTCGGGGATAGGGCAGATTTGAATGGTGGATGTGCGATTTGCGCACGACGTGAGAGAGAGGAGAGAGAGAGAGGGACGGAGGGAGGGAGAGAGTGAGAGGGCTTGATTGATTGATGGATTGATTGATTGGTTGATTAGAGGTTGCTGGATTTGCGCATTACGAGAGCATAGGCGGTGGAATTGGAGGAACAGGTCGGGTCTGTTGACTCCTCCTGGGCAAGGTTTACGCGAAACAGTGCCGATGGTGGCCTGCAACAAGATCGGAATTTTCCGTTCGGAAGGTCGGGTGGAAGGAATTTGTGGCCGGCGCCTTTGATTGCTTCACCGGAATCAGTCACGGATGCATGAGACGTTCCGAGAGCTGCGTGTCTTCGGTGCAAGGTATTGGACTAGTTCGTTGGGTGTCAGAGTAGACTGACTGGAATGCGATAATTGGAAGATTGATGTGCTCGGAGTCTGTTCACGTGTTAGGAGATTTGGATTTCTCTATATTTTGCTCTAGTTTGAGAAGAGAGCCTTGTGTCAACATATTCGGATTCTTTGGATGAATGCTCCTGTGACCTGAAGCCCAAGAATCGGCCTGTGGCAATAGAGTATCGTTACATTCGCGTGTTGTATCGTCACCGTTATGCTTAACGTCCCCTGTCGTCTCCAAACACAAATTCGAAGACCTAAGCCAAGAAGTCCAGTAATTGCTATAAATTTCTTCAATTTGACCACAAATTCTAATGAAGGTTCGGATGAAAGGTATATACATGCGAGAAATTTATTGAAACACGATTAAATGGATTGTCTAATTGCTAACTTCGGGTCCTGAGTATATGTGTTCCGTGTACGACGAGGTGCGTTTGCCTGTAAATCATCTCACATGTCAGAACTCACATGTCAGCAGCCTGTCTTGGTAATGAGTGCTTCTTCTGTAGGCGTCGACACCCTGAAAGTTTTCTGACCACGAGGATATGCTGCAGTTTATGCAATTTTTCTTCATGGCGGTTTGGTGCATATCAATACATTTATGAAACTTAAGGCCGTATCTCCCCTTCGATGCCCTGTTCATTGCAGGAAATATTGACATTTGGAGAACTGGCGTACTCTTCAAATAATGTTTTGCGGGTACGACAGAAAGCTCTCTCAAAATCAACAACCTATGAGAGCGACAAGTACAAAGGAATTACTGTCCACACGACGGGAAGTTAGTAGTGTAATGAGAGCTCAACAACAGCAACAACAGATAGTTCTCACTGGGCCCGTTGCCATTCTGTGGGACATCGAAAATTGTCCAGTTCCCTCAGAGGTGAAAGCAGAAGATGTGGCCGGGAACATTCGCATGGCACTTCGTTTACATCCAGTAATCGAAGGGGCAGTGACGTTGTTTTCTGCCTATGGAGATTTCAATCATTTCCCGAGGAAAGTCAGAGAAGGTTGTCAAAGGACCGGCGTGAATCTTATTGACGTTCCCAATGGGAAGAAAGATGCTTCAGACAAGGCGATACTTGTGGATTTGTTTCTCTTTGCTCTTGACAATCCTCCTCCTTGTACAATCTTTTTGATTTCTGGTGATGTTGATTTTGCCCCAGCCCTACACAAGCTTGGGCAGAGAGGTTATACGGTAGTGCTTGCTATACCATCAGGGGTGCCAGTTTCATCTGCCCTCTGCAGTGCTGGTCGCTTTGTGTGGTACTGGCCCAGTGTCGCAAGAGGAGAGGGTCTTGTGCCTGCCAAGTCCTTCGTATATCGAGTTGGTCCCGAAGAGAAGAACTGCGAGATCAGTTCGTCTGTATGCCAAGCTTGGAGCCCGAGCGATGACTCGGACCCTGCTAGTGATGAGCTTGTTTACGGGGAAGAGCAAATTGTTTGGAAATCTTCCAAAACACAGCATGAGAATGTCATCGCCGATGGTTCTGCATCTAGAATGGTTCCTTCTGCACTCTATGGCTCGATGTCCATACAGGTTACATCGCAGGTCACGTCCCAGGCGTGTGCTGTGGGGCCAGTGCCTGTATACTGGGGAGAAAATACTTCGACTCAAGGAAGTTATGTTTATGGCCCCAGCGGTGCACCGCATCCGTCCGGTTACGTAAAGCCATCACAGGGAGCTGCTTCTCGGGAAGGAAACACAGGTGCTGTTTCACGAGAAGGAAGTACCGCTGCGAGGCATTTGGCTGAATCTGTCGAGGCTGATTGCAGAGGAAGTAATGCGGCGGGGCCTGCATCCCTCGGTGGGCTGCTCAACCTCAGAGAGCAACTGGTGAAACTGATTAGCTTTCACGGAGGTAAGTTAGAGCTGGTTCGCGTACCACCGGAGTACTCGAGACATTACGGCAGACCTTTGTACTTAGCGGAGTATGGCTACACAAAGCTAGTGCCAATGCTCGAAAAAATGCGAGAGTGGATGTACATAAGAGGAGAAGGGACCTACAAAACTTTGCACCTAACTAAGACTGGATTCCGCGTCGCTGCGAAGCTCAAACGTGACGCTCGGGTCAGTCGTGCTGTGACTGGAGAGGAGACTGAGGTCAGTGTGTGCCAGAAGATACCCTCAGACGAGTCCATCTATGCAGAGAAGATACCCTCAGACGAGTCCATCTATGCAGAGAAGATACCCTCAGACGAGTCCATCTATGCAGACAACGAAGTCGTTTTGGAAGATGGAGTGGCTGCCTGTCCAACGAAAGATATACAGACGTTCACCGAGAAGGACGAACCATCTGCAAAGACCATAGTAGCGGATCTACCTTCGGATGTGGAGGCTCTGATTCCTACATACGGTTGGAGGTATGACTCTGGTGATGAGAAACGTACTGATTCACAGGAGGAGAAGGATGTCAGGGTGGATGACAGCGCCAGTGAGCTAGTGGATATCACTAATGAGATTCTTGAGGATACCAACAGTGAGGATCTTATTGTCGAAGCCAGTCTCGATTCGGAAGATCCATGTGTTGAGATCAGGCTCCAGGTTTTTAGACAGGAGTTGCAGGAACTTCTTGTGAGTCATGCGTGCAAGATATGCATGGCTAGCTTTTTGGCTCTTTATGAGCAACGCTACTCTCGAGCTTTGGATTGCCCATCTTTTGGAGTTCAGGAGCTGGAGTCCTTGATTGAGAAGGTCAATGATGTAGCCGTACTGATGGAGGATCCTGGCAGTAAATTCAAATACGTGGTGGCCAGTTGTGTTAACTGAGCTCGACCATGGTGTTTGAGAAACCTCAGCGCACAGAGGCTCTTCTGATATCAAAACACACATCATTTGGACGGTGGATACTTGCTCTGGGCAGCGGATATCTTCAGTATGGACGTTTCAGGACCTTTCCTGGTTGTCATGTCGGTGGCCGGCTACTTTCTGACTGGTGGATTCCAACCGTTGGCCATGTTGTCAAGCAGTTAGATATCGGTGTGCAGCAATACGTCAAATCCCTCCTCTTCCTCTTTCGGATCTTTTTTTATTCTCAGCTGAGAATTTTTATTCTCAGCTGAGAAGGTTTTCTACTTTCTGAGAAACATTCAGTACGGAGTTCCATCAGCGGATCAGCATCGAGTCGCGTAATCTACACAGTTTGTTCACAAATTTTAAGCTGAACATTCAACAGGTTGTGGATTTGAGACTAGTGTGTAAAGTTTACTGACCTCATATGAAGGGTCTTCGGTTTGACGACGTTCCTGTCGAACAGGACGATGGATCCGCACCCGATTCTTCAGTTTGGTCTCTCGATCAATGTGTGCATGAAGTACGGACCACCAAAGGCATTTCACATGTTTACGGGTTTTCATTGGGCAAATTGGAAGGAGTTTTTTTAGCTGGTTAGGCTACTTTCAGCAGCACATAGTCTGCTCACCCATACTCACATGGACGGTACTACGTAAACTCAACAGCTTCAGTTTATGAAGCCGTATGATAGCAAGGGGTTACATGCACCGGTACCTTGACCTCAACCTGTTTCCGATTAGTCTCTGCTGCTCACTAGACCGGAACGTTCCTCAATGTCCACTCGGGAACGTTTCGGATTGTATAGAAAGAAGGGAGTTCATCTCAACTCATGAAGTTTGTTCACGAATTTTAGATGCTGAACAAATACCAGTTCCATTCTGCATAAGCAGAGTCATCACTTTGTTTCAAATTTGTCATTTAACTAGGAATCAGCAAGTCGCGTCACTTTAATCCATGTCCTTTAGACTCCAGCGGAGGGATTGGACCATCGTCAAGTGTAGTAAGGCTCATGTGTTACCTTTGTAGTATCGTTATCCTAAGGGTTCCCGTAGAAGGAAAGTGTTCTGACTGAACACTTTCCTCAGTCAGGTTAAGTATACAATGTTTTATGTATTCGACCGAAGCCCATACCTTCGAGGTGCTTTGAGGATCCATTCGCCGACTCTAGTAGGCAACTAGCAACAGCAGCTGCATTGCAAGGTGAGATATATCTCGAGTTCAGCTTCCAGCTTTTTCAGTTCCCAACCATCACCACGCATTTTCGTAGTGGCGGAGTTTTTGTGTTCTACCTAGAATTGTAACTGTTTGTTTGTTCGCTGACGATATTTTTGACGTCTAAATGATGTCAGAGCCTTACGATATTACGTTTTCATTTGCTGGCAGATCATGGGTGTTGCATTCTGTTACTGGGTTCAATTCGGAATCGCTTTTATTTCCGAACCAAGCCTGAACGCGGTCTAAGGTGTATAAAGATATGTCTTAGGACGACCTTGCGTTTCTCTCGTCCCCGTCTCCTGTGCACAAGGACAAGCGGGGAACGCAGTAGAACTCATGATTTGTTATCAACAGATTCTTGAAAACTCCTAGGTGCTATTTTTTGTCGGAGCGAGTTAGATAATCTGGTAGCATTTAGTCAACCTGAACACCCAACATCCTTGAGGGTTGCGTGAATTCTCTTCCGAATCATGGTGATATGCATAATATAGTACCTTGATTTTTTCGTTGTAATACTATATTTCCTTCATTGCTTTCTCCCATCTTCCAGGAATCTACTGTACACCCCACGTTACCTGTTCATGTGGCGATGGGGGAGTAAATTAACGGTATCCAAGATGCACAATCTTGACATCTTCAATATTTCTGCGGATGGCCCACTGTTGTACTTGAAGATATTTTTCTTCCTAGAAAGAGTAGGGAGTTCATGCACAATATCATTTTATTAAGACCTATGCACGATTATCCCAGATTGAGATCTTTTGGGGATACTAGTAAAAAATTCTCATGGAATTTCTCTTTTCATTTCGAAATCTGGATGGAGGCAAACGTTTCAGTCCAAATGGCTTGGGCTCCCTGTAAAGTGGTTTGTTGTGTATTTCAAGTCATTTAGTTACGTTCTATGCAACTGTGGATAATTAACAGCACGGTGAGCGGCAACGGGTGAGATCACAATCCACTATCATAAATTGTGTCTATTACCGTTTCGAGGTTTTGCATGACTGTCATTGCCCTTTTAGCAGATGCTCTGCAACCATGCTGTGATCATGCGAGAAAACTCATCCTCTCTATGTTATCGTCTACTACGCCCAAAGACAGGAAGAGCCGCGCAACCTTTACTTTGTTGGATCATTCCTGACAAGGAATGCTCTTCAGAATCAGTACTACGTTCACTAGCTCTGTCACCACTCACAGAAGAGAGTTGCACATGTTTAATGGGGACTTTTGCATAGTTAAATGTGGCGTTCGATCAGGGCTGTGTAGTAAGTCGTGAACACTTTTGAGAATTGGATGCGGTTGATACTGTGTCTGACTTTTAAGATGTTGGAGAATCATCTATAAGACGTGCTTTCTACGAGTCGCCAGCTGACAAAATTCCGTCCGCTCTGTAATTATGATTTTTCCAAAGTCGGATAAGAAATTGTAGTCCCTCACCGAGACATGACTTCGGATTTATATATTTTTTTCTTTCTGTTGTTCCTTCGCATTCACTGACTTATGTAGATGGTGTTGTTTGAGCATCTTCCAAAATCCAGCGATGAGAACTGATGATGCGAGATTTTATACATGATGTATATACCGCCACGCTGTGTTTTACTGCGTCGTCTGCATTGTTGGTGACCACAAATCTAAACATAACAAATCCATTTCTATCAATGTTCATGTCCAGATTTCCTTTCTTCACGGTCAATTCGTACCTGGCGTCATTTCTCTACTTACGTTCGTACTGATATTGCGCTCAGCTGCTTCTGCGGTTACAGCTTCACACTGATAAAGAAATACGTGACCAGAGTAGAAGTCTGATGGGTTTGCATCCCCATCCTCCCTCTGTCAAGATGCGGGCTTTCAGATCGCAGCACTTGCAGCACATGGTATACGGAGACGAATGGAACATATACGTGCCCGGGGCACTTCGCTCACATGGCAGCCGCAGTACGGTGTGCCACTCCACACCTGCCGCGGCTGCTGCTCTTCAGTTGTAAGACTGATCTGTCTGCTGGATATACAAGATGGTGTGCGGAAGTACAGCAGGCTCCTGCTTTACATTTGCACCTCAACTCGATATTGCTTTTTCAGACTGTTGAGGACGTAACCTCGTCTGTGGCTGCCAAGCAGTCATTGTCGAGGTAAGTAACTGAAGAAACGCTCACTGTTGCCATCTGGTCCTCGTTTGACTTGAGCTTGTCCCCTCCAAATGGACAATTACCAGCAATGCGGAGTGGATGTGCACGTGCATCTAATCACCGACTGTTCAGATTATTCAATTGTTTCGGGAAGATTCTTTACTGTCTATGCTTATACAAATGTAAAGATTTAAGCTTCTTTGTACTAGAAATTTGCTACGAACCAGTGCGAATTTGTTCTGAGGATGGTAGTGATCCTCGAGAGGTCGTGTACGATTCCAAAGGGGAAAGAGCAAAATCTGGCGAATTCCCGGTAGATATTTGTGGGAATGTCTGGATGTGCCACTCTTAGGTGGAGGTGGAAAACCACACTTGTCAGGTCAAAGGCCTCGGTCGAGGAGTGCTCTGCAAAGCGTGGATGGTAACGTCGTGGCACGATTGGGGAGCACCACATACTCGTCTTCGAGGCAGTTTCATCACCCGTCCCAGACTCGCAAGCCCACTCCAAAAGGATTTCACGTTTTATTGCAGGGCAGAACGGAACTCTCGAGCTCGTTGACCACGCTCGAGCTCGAGAGCGACGCCATATTCGACATTGACCGGCAGAGAACTCGACGGCCCTTCGCAGAGTGCCGCTTTTCAACCTGCCAGGATCTCGGGGAGAAGCTCGATATCGAGATCGGCAGAGATGCATCGATGCTCTCAAATCTCGAAATATATATCCATCATCTCTACAGTCGCTATTTCCCCGAACCCAGATCTGCAGATCGCGTTTCGCAATCGCGAGAGTCGCTCACCAACCTGGGCACTCAACCGGAGCTGGAGCTGGAGCTGGATATACTCATCGACTTTTCCCCACCCATGCCCGTGAGAGGTCCATGTCCCGTTCTTCCGGCTGCCCGGCCTCGATCCGCCACGTGTCGGGCGGACAGTGGAGATCGTGCGATCGCGAACAGATGGGCAGCGATGTCACCTGAGTCGAGTCAGTTTGTCCTGCCCGCCCTCGCGGGTCCGAAGCCCGGGCGGCCCCCGGACCGTGCGATGTGATCTCTGCTCGCTTTTCCTTTATGCAATCAGTTCGTGCGCAAACCCACCAGCCCCACGAGGGAATCTGTTTCAGCCTTTGCGCTCAAATCCGTCCGTCCATCCATCCATCCTCCGGCCGCATTTCCAGCCTTTTCTTTTCGGTCGGCTTCTGCCCGCGGGCACCCGAGCAAGAAAATTCTGCCACGCGCTCGCCCTTTTTACGCTTCTGAGCCAGGCGTTGGGTGATTTTCCGGTCTCTCTCTTTATCCGGCGGTTCTTCACACCTGTCCAAACTGCCAAGAAGGCAGGTAGCATTATGATGACTGTGTTCGATTTGTGATGACTTTCTCGCCCACATAACGATCGCTTCTCGGTATATAGAATATTAAGTTCGTGCGATGTGCTATTCTATTCGGAGAAGGATCCTAATGTTGTCATTTGCGACTAAAAGTCCGGCTGCTTTTCTGGACGTTGATAAAGACAAGAGAATAATCGAAAATATAAATATTGTGGCATGAGATCTGACTTGTGTTTGTGGCGACGGGTGCGCGGGTAAAATCGCAAAAAGCTATACAAGATGAAAGGAGACGAAACCAACACAGATGAGATAACATGGGGCTAGCCCCCATATCGACATGAAGTAAAATATGTCTTCCAGACTTAAAATATTTGAGTCTGCAAGGTCCACAAACCCACCAGCACACGCGGAGAAGCATCTGATTACTCTGCATTGGATTGCATGCCTAGTGCCGTTTGTATATATATGCAAGTATTTGGTTTAAAATAGTCGAGACGGTAAGGTGGAGAGAGTATTGATAGTTGTTGTCCAATCTCTTGCAGTTTCTCCAAATTATTAATAATTGGTGTACATATCTCTACATAACTCTAAACCTAGAGTAATAAGATACCATATGAATTCATATATCTCTGAATGAAGACTTTGGCTAGACTTCTTGCAAACATATGATCTTCATGATCATTTCATTTGAAGCAATGTCATATGTAGGATAGTATGACATTAATATGTTATATTAAAATGAAAATCTTCAATCGATTTATTTAATATTTTCCATTAAATCTAGACAATTGCGAGATATAAAAAGTTCTCTTAATGCTATAATAAAGACTATGTTTAAATGATGATTCATTCATAAATTGAACATTTTTCAAGTGAAAACCAGTAGTATTTAAATCCCGTACAAAGTGACATTACTACTCACATGATAGTAATAATGTCATGTTATGTCCAAGTTTTGATAAGCATGGCTGAAAACTACATGGTGACCTCAAGAATGCGCCACAAAACTTGAGCATTCTTGATTTCTCGGGGTTATCCAAATGAGTCCAAAAAAAATTATGGAGTTCTCAAAATTGTTTTTCAAGGTTTGCCAGTCAAACTGCTTCACCGACCGTGCTAAGTACTTTTGAGTATTGACTTCGTCATGGCTTGCATGCACATTTGTGGAGAAATGAAACATGGATTTAGGACTCTTAAAATTTACCATCAATTTGTGCCCATCCCCAACAACTCTAGGAATTCCTCCCCCAACTCAACAGCAGTAGGTTCCTTGACGACAATTGCCTACACTGGTCCTTATCATGTTCTGATGAGTCAGCATCATAGAATGCATGCTCATCTGAGTCATTGTCCTCAACGTCTTGATCAAGATCTATGTTGTCACCATCATCTCAAAACTTGAAACACAGATGATGGTAACAACATAGATGCTTCATCCTCAAAAAACTCATCATGGTGCTTCATCCTCAAAAAACTCTTTGTTGATTTAAAACAATACAGACGAGTCAATTGGAAATAATTGCTCTCTCTTTTTCCGGTTGCAAAAATGACTCAATAAAATATTATAATATGACACACCAAATTTATCAAGCTCTAAATGCTTTAGGCTTCTATAAAGTGCTGGATCAAAGATTTTGAAAGCACTAAGCACATATCACTTGGAAAAGCATTTCAAAAGATTTGCCGCAATTACCTCCACCAGCACCTTGATGAACACATGAACGTGTTTCACACTTAAACCATAGTGATCTATCAAAGTAATCATACAGCTCTCATTGAACTCCCAAATTAGATCCTTTGTGGCCCCGTTGTCATGAACAGTTTGTAAAAACTGTTTCAATTTATCATCACCGACCCGATCCTCAGAGCCACAAATATCCTTGAGAGCAGACAAACACACCTCAAGACGTCCAAGAATTTTATGAGGCAGGTTGTGGCCCTGCACATGAAAATGACATCAATGAGAGACCTATGTAAGTCTGCAGCTTTCTTCCAACCCTTCTTGCCTGACTTCCTCTTCAAGAACAAAATCAACGTTGCTAAATTCTCTTGTAATGCATCCACGCATTGAGCTCTGAAAAACCACCGAGTGGCATTAAATAAGGAAAATTGTAGTTTAGTAACACCACGCCCCACCTTTAGCAAAACGTGTACATTGCGAGATAGTGATTTGCTAAAGAGATTATGCACCACCTTCAGGACAACTTCCAACTCTTGAAGAACTTCTATTTCCTTGGCTATGTTCCCAAGGGCTAAGTCAATTTTGTGCGCTGCGCAATAGACACTCCAAAGATACCCCACAATTCTTCGCAACTTTGCGCCTAGTTCATTGTGCCTATCAATCAGTGTGGAGTCACTGTCACTGCGGATTGCCGCCATATTTGATATTAGGATGTCAAGGAAATCTAACACCGCACACAACATATGGTACATCCCTTCTGCTGATTTGTCACCTAGACTAACGGCGCACAGAAACTCTGAACGTGACATCCACATGTTCCCATCCTAGTACCTACTTAACACGGTTTTGAGCACAACATGGTCAAAGATTAATCAATACTATCAGATGCATTCTAGCGGAGACAATTTTCTGCAAAATTTTTTTGAAATAAGAAGAGGTCACATGAGAAATATCAAGTAGTGGTACTCGTTGCCTATGTCGTTGGAATTGTCCAGTAGAACAGAATAGAGAGGACTAGAAGCTATCCTGGCCAACTGTGCTGCTAAAAGGCATTTGCTGATCATCAAGAGAAACGACCAGAAGTAACGCTTCTAGTTATATTTCCGGTTAATGCATGGATGCCCAAATCAAGCAAGATACATGCGTTGGCACAAGGATGAAAATTTATTGTCATGGCCTTCACAAGTATTGGAAGCTAGCAATCTTGAATGAAAGTATCAGCCACATGATGTAGTGCATGCATTGGGAGATTCTGTCCATCCACCTCAACAGCATATTCCATTTTGAAATGAACATATTCCCTAAGACAACTAGCAACGCTAGAGAAAACGCGGTGCGCAAAAAAATATTGATTGCCGCTTGTGAATGAAACAGAGCTATTGCTCTGCTCTTTTGAAACCCTTGCTGCTGCTTCACTTTTGACGCGGCTGCCTTATGCTTTGTCGATGAAGCATGGTCGCTGATATAGCCTACATATAAAAACATTAGATTAATCCCATGTAAAAACCTTCATAACTTGTAGTATCCACTTCGCACTTATACAAGTATTAGAAAATTCAAAAACATATCTATACTCACTTGCATCTTTGCAAATAGCGCCAATCTTGGAGTCAAAGTTATTTGCGGCTTGTGCTTTTGTAGAAATGGAGCAGCTTATCATGGTATAACCATCTTCTTTCCTGCCTATGAGTCATACTTCTCCATCCAACTTTGCACCGTCAAATCTGAGGCAACAGACTTCTTCTTCTTGTTACTAGCATTAGATGTTGTGGTTGTATTGCCACTTCCTGCCTGCCCGCTTTGCTTTTGGTCTGCAAATAGAGGCAAGAAACTATTCATATATGGTTTAGATCACTAGAGACTATGTTGCTCCAAAAACAACTGCCAACAATATTTTCTTATTCGGTGCAGCAAAACCTCGACGCCTTCATTTGCAATGCTGCAATCAAAGCACAACTAGGTTTGCCAACGGTCGAGCTCCGATTGATTGGCAATATTTTCAGTAGCACAAAGATGATGGACTGTCCCAATGCTGCATCTCGCACATTGTCGAAGGCGTAATTTAGGAACTCGTCATCCGTTAAGAGTTGCTGCCCAGCTGCAAGTAAGAGGGTTGTTGGCTGAAGCACCATTTGTGGTAGGCTCTGCATATGCGCTGTCACCTGCAACAAGCTGACATTTGATTCAACATTGATAAAATCCTTACATATGATGAAGCTGAAATGATCAAGTCAGGTTTCAATTACTGCCCAGTACCTTGCGCAAAGATGGACTGCTGTGTGGACCTTGTCAACCCCAGACTCAGTGTAACCCGCTGCTTTACGCTAGCAAACTTGCTACGTTTCTTCGGTTGCTGTTGTGACGGGTTTGATTGTTGTGGAGATATCACTTTTTGAATTACAGATGCAACCCTCTGCTAGGGAGAGCTATTGATTGCTGGCCGTGAAGGTTCGGCTTTGTCAGCCATGTTGTCCATTGTATGAAGACGCTTTGTTCATTCAAAGAATATGATAGTGTATATAGCGAAAGCAAAATATGCTCTTAAGAGTGTATGGCACTGGATGCGTGTTTGGCTACATGATATGCCTGCTCAAACAGAATCAATCGATATTGGTGACTCATTAATTACATAATCACAAGTGGAAGAGTGAAGCGGCTGCTTTCTCGTAGGACGAGCAATGGATTGAAAGCTCTTAAGTCTGCTATTTACTTGTGAGTGCTCCCAAAATTCATACAATTAAGTGACATTTACAAGGGTATGTCCCCGGGTGTTACCCTAAAAAGCCTCAGGGTGTAGCCCCCTATTAGCAAGAGGGTGTCAGGCGGTTTTCTCCGGTTGTCCCCCTATATCACCCCTATCCCCAAAGTTAGTTAGCTATTCCCAAAGGATTGCCGAGGTAATGTCAAACGCTGGTTATGTTCAAACCAAGATGAAAATTCATTGTTTTTGTATTCTTTTTTAATAATTAAATAATGAACAAAAAAATATAAGCACAATTGTGCTAATATTTACAAACTACATTCATGATCATAAAACATTATAAATAACATTGTAAATAAGCCATATTATTAGGAAAAATAATGATTCTCTTCAAAATAATTGTCACTATGCTAAGAATGTTGATTTATCAAATGAACATTTTTTCCACTATTTTACACTGTTGTTTGAAGCTTTTAAAAATTACATATGATTTGTTATATATATATAAATAAATAAATATATATATCTCTGTCGTCTTTTTTACAAAAGCTAGAGTTCCAAAATAAGCTTGAAAAATTAACAAGATAAGCTTTGAATTGTTCATAAGAATCACAAAATTTGAAAAATTTGACATTTTTTATAATCCTTAAAGATTGAAGAGTGAATTTAAGATTCCAACGTGTGATTTTATGATTTAATAGCAAATGTAAAATTTTATCACAAAAAATTCCACAACTTATAAAAACTTGAAATTTTTTAAATGCAAAATCATAACCAAAATTTAATGAATGAGATTGAAATTGTAAGTATATATAGATCATAAATGTAGTAGATATAATTCTTAGTATGTATACTTTAAACAAATGATTTCAATCAATTTTTAAGTGCCTTCAACCTGATAGGTGAAAAGCAGCGCCGGCCCCCCCTCCCTTTCACTGGCTTTCACTGAACGAAGGCAGCGCGGAGGCCGGAAACGAGAGTCTCCTTATGGACCCAATTTTGAACATGATTACATGTTCGTGTGAACTTGAAATTAATTGAAACAAAATTTCAAATTTTATGATCAAATTCTGATTACAAATAATATGCATGGTAAATATTTTATTTAGAAACTTATTATGAAAGATCAAAATTTAAATTATCTATAACATATTGAAGTAATATCTGTTCTAAATCTAACAAGTAGAATGTTCAATTGTTGATGAAGTTTGAATGTGAGAGAGAATAGTTCAATTATTACATCTTTTGAACTTTGCAAAATAAAATTTGAGCAATGCAAAACAAATCAAAAAATGAAAAGCGTAGAATTTTGAAGTAAAAAATATATTCAAGAGAGTTCAGTGGGATATGCATTACTAGAATTTCAGATATTTCCAATAGGAATAATCAATGACTTGCTGATGCAACAATAACACTTAATTATTGTGAGAATTTATCAAAATCATTATTTTTTATTTTTTACTGTAAATTTTTTTTATTTTCTCAAATATTAAAGCATATTTATTTTTAGTGGAAGTTTAAAATAAATATGTCATCTCTTAATGTGTGATATGAAAAATTACTTCTAATTGGATGTTTGAAAGCAAATATTCAATATTTCAACGTGTGTTATGGAAAAATATTTCAAATTTGATTCCAAAGTAATCATTTAAATTATCAATATGTGAAAGAAAATATTGCAGATTTGATTATAAGATTGTACGTAATACATTTAGATAAGTATATCTTGACTTGATGTTTGAATATCAAGTTTATTAAAACATGCACATGAATAAGAAAATCAATAATAATAATAAATTTTTCTTTGCTTTATGAAAAAACTTTGTGTCTATTTTTTGTGGATACATTATTTTAAAAAAATTCCAAATAAAAGATTAAAAATCAAGGAAATTGAGTTATAAGATTTATAATAGCTTATGCAACTTTTCATTATTATTTTCATTATTAAAAGAAAGTAGTTAGCTTTTGATTTGTTTTTGAATGTCAAGCACCTTACATATATGATGCATGAACTTATTGATGGAAGATTTAGTTTTTTATTGAAGCTGCTTTTCAACTATCCCATCCTTGAACAGCTAAAATTCATGAGAATCAGATAGTATACCTTTAGTCAAAATAGTTGATAAGCTTCAGAATGAGTTATATTATCAAAGTCAAAGCTATCAAATTGATAAGGTCTGATACTTCTTAGGTACTTTCCAACAGACTTCTCCCTCCCTGATGGGATCTTCCCATCTTGTCTGGCTATATTACTTGTTCACTTCGCACAGAAGTAGATGTAAGAACGGATCAATTGGATGGGATGCCATACTCTTATTCGATGCATTCAAAATAGTAGGATATCATCATATTTTCACAGACCAGAAGCAATAAATATTTTTCAATTCATGTGATGGTAATCTTCTGCCACATCCAGGAGCAAACAGTGCAGATCTCAGACTTTCAGGAGCTCGTTTTCCTTACGGCAGTTCCATGGGATGTTGTCTTCAATCCTATTAATGATCTCTGTTCACTACATGTAAATTTAGCACACGGCTGCCATCTTGATGCAGTGGAGTTAGTGACTTCTGGCACCTCTAGACAAGGTTCGCACTGGAAAAAAGAGCATGCTCACTATTCGAAGGTTCTCGTCCGAAGAGTAATAATAATACACGGAAAACATTTCTCGGCCGAGAGCTATGGGGCAGGCATGCCAACCGTGGATGCAGTCTTGGCGATGTGGGTCTCCGGTGGCATCCGAACGAACGGATCGGAACTTTTCGAACCGGACGAAGATCGGCTCCGTGACTCGGGGGCCGTGACGGGGTGGCTCGGCTCGGTGTCTGCGGACAGGACCTCGCCAGCGGCATCGGAGTTGTCGTATGCGCGACATGTGTCCCGGAGGACAGATTATGATTCGGTTGCGCGGCTTCAAAACCGGTCAAAGTCGGTCATACGTTCGGGACCGAGAAGCGTTTTCTGTCATCCGAGACACGTGGCGCGGCGCGGGAGAGCGGAGCAACCCGAACTCCGTCGGCCAGGGGCGGCCCTGTCCGTAGACGAGACGAGGCGCGGAGGGGGTCCCGTGGCAGCCCAGCCCCCGAGTCACGGTGAGCGTTCGTCAAATGCCTGAGGTCACAACCCCGCAACGGGCCAAACAGGTCACGTGAGATTCACCTGGATCGAAGGGCGAGCGCGCTCGCCACGCCATCGTCCACCGTGACCGTCGATGGGGCCGAGAGCACAGCCCGCGGGTAAATGCGAATCTTTCCCAGTGAGAGGGAATAGGTGAAAAGGGCCCCGAAGGATTCCGCGGTAACTTCCGCGTCCACCTGGAGCCTGCCCGAGGGGCGCGGTAAATGAGGGAGGGAGGGAGCGAGTGCGGTAAGGAAGTCTGCGGGATGCTTTTACCGCGCTCAGAAACCACCTGGCGCGCTGCCCCCTGCCCTCGCGGGGGCCCTCCTGGCCCTCCTGCTGCTCGCGTCCGCGTCCGCTGCCCTTCCCGTCCGTCCCGCTCCCCTCGTCGCGTCGCGAGGAGAGGAGAGGAGAGGCGAGGGGGGGACTGCAACCAAAGCGCCAGAGGCGATGGGATGGGGGCAGGCTGCGCGCGAGCCAAGAAGCGAGCGAGGAGGGATCGACACGAGACAGGACAAGAAGGCCGAATGCGTGCGGAATTTGGCCGAATTGGGCTCGACTCCATCGAGGCGGCGAGGAATTGCGCCCTGCGGTCCGCGAGAACTCGTCGTTAGGGAGGGAGATTCGGTGGCGAGAGCGGAAATGGTCGAGTGAGGAGGCCGAGAGAGAGAGAGACGAAACGCGAGAGGGTAGCATCGATGGTGGCGAGAGCGGAAATGGTCGAGTGAGGAGGCCGAGAGAGAGAGAGACGAAACGCGAGAGGGTAGCATCGATGGAGGAGGCGCGGGCGGGGAGGGGAATTGGGGTCGCGAGAGAGGTGGAGAGGGTGCGGGTGAGGAGATGAGCGGGATTCCTCGATCGAGCGGGGCTTCCTCTCTGGGAGGAAGTGGCGATGGTGGTTGTTGTTTGTACTCATCGAGGCCCGGTGCTGCACTAGGCGAGCTGGTGATGGGAAATGGGAGTTTGTACCTTTACCTAGACAAGAATTCTCTGGAGCAGGGGCGGAGGGAGAGTTTCATAATGTGGCAGTACGCTGTGCTGGAGGTGAATGCTTTGTTGTGGACGCTGTTGATCGTGGTGACGATGATTCTGGTGCGGAGAATGTTGGGTATAATTACTCTATGGGCTCGTGCTTGGAAGCTGCCCGGACCTCCTCCGCAATTCTTCATGCGCCTCTCGCGCTCCTTCGGGAACGATACGGGTCCTGATAGTTTCACTGGTCAGTAAGAGAAGTTTGTTCTGGCTGCCCGGACTGTCTCAATTCGTGCAATGTGTGGATCTCTTTCAGTTCTACTTTCTTCGGGTAGCATATCTTTTTCGAAGGGACATTCTTCTTAGCATCAAACTCGTGTCATATTAGATAAGACGGGTGTCTAAATTCTGAAGGTCTCTGTATAGTTGTGCTAAAATTTTTTTGTTGGCCTTGTCACTTAGCTTTCATGCGCTTGTCTGCATGTTCACCTGAAAGTTACTCGGTTGTAGTTGGGTTCGGCCTTCCGAGCATGTGGTTTCTATTCCAATTCGATGCGAATAGCTCTGAAGTTTGGTAGCGGGAATTATGCCCGTTACTCCTGGCGCAGTCGCGCTTCCGTCAGATAGGAGTGGTGTTTCTTTTCTTCTTGAACTCTTGAGATTCGTTCCATCGGTGGTTTTCATGCAGCATGATAGTCGAAGAGGCATTTTGAAATCGCCCTTCATACACGAGCTGTGCCGGCTTTGAATCAGTTTTCAGCTCTGACGGTGGCCGATGTTGACTCCGCGTTGTAGATCGTCTTTTACTGCCAGTTTAGTTGTCATATTCTACCATGTAGAGCGGAAAGGTTACCAGTAATGTACAGTCGCAGCGAGGAGTTCTGAAATGGAGAAGGAAGATAAATTCAGCGTGTTTAGGCAGCTCGGGTCCTCAATCCGATCTGTTCGTTATATCTTCCTTTGATTTCGTTGGTTGATAGCGGATTCTCATTACATCTACTTGCCTTGTGAACTGTTCCAGAGTGTTTTGGAGCTTTGCACAAGCAGTATGGCCCCGTTGTTCGAGTGTGGCTGGGACCGACACAACTCGTCGTGTCGGTCAGAGACCTCAGTATGGTGAAGGAACTTCTGATTCAGGCCAAAGATAGAGTGCCTGCTACAAGGAAGGCCTTCCAGCTTGCATTTGGCAAAGACAGTCTTTTTTTCTCGTCTTACAGCCAGGTTGGTTTACTAGGGCCCCCCTGTCGATTCCAATGAGAGTGTCACTGCTGTTTCATGTTGCCAGCGACGATTGCGATCGCGATGATTGCGATTGCGAGATCATTTGTGAAAATTGTCTCCAGGGAGCGCACAATCACGGAGTAACTTGAGTCTTAGAGGTGTTGGGGTTGTGGGCTAAGTTTTGGGAAAGTGAAACTTTGTTTTGCGCAACTTTTCCTCACGAGTTCCAATCGTGTTACTTGTCTGAACTTATCAGGCGAAGAGAAGGCGCTCTGTTCTACACCAGGAGTTCTGTGGGTCGCTCCTGAGGAATGTACATGCCACCTGCTTGGATGTCGTTGATGACCTGAAGAGTTGGGCGTACTTGGGGGGAAATGGGAAAGAGGTTGATGCGAAGGTCGTGTCTCAGCATATGGCCATCGCTGTTCTTGGAATGTCAATTTTCGGAGAAGGATTCAAAAGCTGGGGTGCTGCTGAAGAGTTCGAAAAGATTCTCGTAAAAGTCTCTGAGGAAGCTTGTATGTGGGCCAGATTCAGAGTTGCCCCGATATGGAACAAAGAGTTTCGCAACTACCAGAAAATGTGCTCAAGACTGCGGGATTTGATGGAGGACCTTATTACTCTGAGCAGATCTGTGTCTAGTCAGGGGAGTTTGCGAGGTTGCTATCTAGAAACTATAGATGCCATGTGGGCGTCCCGAAGCAACAGCAACGACAGATCTGCAAGTGAGACGGCAGAAGGAATCTTGAACGAATTCCTCTCTGAACTTGGCGCTTCTCACCATAGTCATCCAGGTCCTGTGAACTCCTTGAAAAAGTTTAATCCGCATTTGCTGAGTCTCTTCTGTCATGCTTGTTTTGCAACCTCCGGTATCATAAGCGGCGTTCTTACAAGGTTGGGGCAGCATCCGGATGTACAAGCTAAGGTACTCTTTATGTTTTTCCTTCCACCTCATAATTGTTGCTTCAACTCTCCGTATCTATGTACAACGTTTTATTCAAACCTAGCCATAGTGAGTAGGCTGAGGTTTTCATTTTACTCTTAGAAATCTATGCATCCCATTGTACAAAGTGACTGAAACGCTTATCATTACATGATGTTATACTTTGGCATCATACGATGTTGTGGTCAAAATTTTCACTCCAGGTTTTACTTACCTCCCATTTTGATCTGTCCAGATATACCAAGAAATTATCGACAGTTGTGCCAAAGATGAATGTCCCAAAGTGGAAGATTTGAAGAAAATGCACTATCTTTGGGCAACGTTACATGAATCAGCACGATTGCTGCCTATTAGCCCTATCTTACAGCGGTCATCACTTGAGAAAGGTGAGATACCTGCCTTTTTCCTGTGTCTCCGATCAAGCATCTCAAGGTTTCATGCTATCCGATTGATCCAGTTGATCGACTCATATAACTGAGAATCATGAATCACAAGCTCGAATAATTTTTTTCCTTTTCGTTTGCCTGTTCTTGTTTACTTCTCGTTTGTAATATGTTTAAGTGACCGGGAATTTTTGCCCTCATTGTTTGCTTCCAATCTTTTCCTATAATTACAATCACATGCATATCTACACCTCTACGCCGTGAGGTTGCATTCCGTGTGTTGTGCCAATTCTGTTCATATCCTGTTCACCAGCTTGCTCTCACAGCAGATGAATCTGAGCATTTACTTACATGTGCCTATTCAAATCTTAGAACATATAGTAGTCCTCGATGAGTGGTATTTTCTCTACATGGAGGATCAAACTAACTTTGGGTAAATTATATTTTGGTATGTATATTTGCTTATTTGGTCTGCCTCGGGGTTGCCTTGTCCGGATAAATCCAAAATACGTGTGCGTTTTTTGTTCTTGATGGAATCATATGACTCATTGAAAGAAATCTTCTCACTTAATTACCCGGCAACATGTATGCGTTGGCATTTCTTTGTAGGATTAATCTTAAATCTCAGTATATCTTGATGTTATCAATTTGGTTTTGTAGACGTGAAAATAGGACAAGGTATGGTACTGCCAGCGGGTGCAATACTTGTGGTTCCCGTCCAGTTATTACAAATGGACAGCAATTCTTGGGGTCAGGATGTGGATACTTTCAACCCCAACCGTTTTTTGAAGCCAAGCAAGGCACGCGTCGATGATGCTAGTACAAATCAAGAAGCTTTGGCAGAAGAGTGCACTAGTGATTCCGAAGCTTCTGGATTGCAAGGTACAAAACCAAATGTTTTTGTCTCAACACACAATGTGCCTTTTACAGATTACAACTTGCAATGTGTCAGCATTTGCCAAGTATTCTGGTTTGGGAGTGTCACTCTCCTAACTTGTAATGTTCTTCTGAAACTGAACTTGTAAGTTCCTGACACTTAGTTTTAACTCTTATATCAGGTCAGTGGGAGGTGGTAAGTCCAAGAGAATCCAAGGGTACAAGACAGAAGTTGGAGAACCTGATCTTTGATGATCCTGAAGACGATGCTTCCTTTCTGCTCTTCGGAGCTGGCTCACGAGTATGTGTCGGGAAAGATTTTGTGATGAGAACAATGGTGACAATCTTGGCTTGCCTCATCCAGCAATTCGAGGTGAGGTTATTTTGTCTAGCTGATTCATCTTATCTGGTCGCCCTGTTATTAATACATGTGATCAGTTGGACATCATGTAAAAATTCAGTGTTTTCTTGTCTTCGGATTTATTATGTAACTAATTTTGATACGCTAATTCTAGTTGGACCACCAATACTTGCAAACAATACCACTACTCATCTGTTTTCCATCCACTTTACCATCAATATTGCTACCGGCATTCGGCTCTTCTTGAATGCGCTGTGCGTTGACTAGGAGAGACTGTAATGATGTAGTTGCCTGTATTAATACTGGACGTAAACAGAACACAGAAACTCACGTATTAATCGATGATTTGGTTCGTTCCTTGATCTCCGCACATTCCAAGAGCAAGAAGCAAAGCCTATATGCTTTTAATTTCTTCCCAGATCGTGATATGATTTTAGATTGTCCAAAAATATGTGTTTCGCGCTAATAAAATTCGCACGCTTTTCTAGGAAATTTTGAACCACCGGACAATAGTTACTGACGAAATGTTTGGTATTTTCAGATAAAATTGGCATCTGAGAGTGACGAAAATTTGAGGCCCAAGTTAGAAAACTTCGTTTTGCAGCTATCACCCAGTCCATCCCTTCTATTTTTACCGAGGGGATGATGTCAGGCCCTCAAATTCACGTGAGCGGTGTTTCACAGGAGGCTCTACTTCTTGATCTGAATATCGGAGGTCTATCCAACGTTGTGTTTGACATTGTCTGCGATGTTAAGAAAGAGATTGTGGAGTACTCTTTCGTACCCAAGAAACAGTCGACCAAAGTATGGGATCGCAAACGAAAGTGGCAAGTTTAATGGATAAGAACTTGATGCCCTGAGCTATAGGGACGAATCGTTGCCAATATCCGTCCATTTCATCCTATATCCCTGTCCAGGTAAAGCTCATCGAATGGGCCTCTTGATCAGATATTCTGATGCAAGGAATATCTGCTGTTCAGTAGACTTTCTATCTGACACATGTCGGTGGTGAGAGTGAGACTGCGGTTGAATCTCAATTCACTCAAGCAGGGCTGTGCTTCACGCGGGTGCTGATGGACTCGCTGATCTTTTTTCCTCTATTTTTTTGGCCCTTCTTGCAAGGGGCAATGATTGGCAATAGAGTTGAACACTAAAAAGAAGTATGAGAGTAGTGAAACTCCTCTCTATCTCCTGGTTACAGTTAGCAGTATCATCTTCGTCTCGAGCTGTTTTTTCTCCTTCCGGTGAGTCCGTTGATGGAATGAATATTAGTTGACAGCCCACGTTGTTACTTCAGGCAAGGTCCTGGTTTTAGATAAGAGGTCGTCAGAGACAAGTCTATTATGAAGATTTAACTTCTTGTATGTCTGTCCTGAGACCGAGAATCGTCCAAAAGTTTTGTAAATACTCAAGTTAGTATGTAATGTACAAGGCTTTTTGGTTCCTAGCCTTGTTGCGTTGTAATTCTTATCTGAAATATATTAGTGTCATGAGGAATGGCTTTCATTACTAAAGCTAGGTCTTTATATTTGCGAACTTCTGTAAGCATTGTCCTCGGCCGAATTTTGATGTGACTACCTTGTGGAGAACACACCCTCGTGCGAGTTATGATCATGTCTGTACATCTATCCATGTATCTTCATTTCTTGCTGCTAGAAAAACAGCTTGGTGATGCTTTCTGGATGTAACGGATATATTGCATACATTGAACGTATGAGATTGTGTATCTCCACTTAATATAGAGCAGTTGACATGCCACTCCCTCTCCTTCCTGAAGGATCACGTGCGAATTGGAATTAAGACGTCTCACAAACCTTAATGCCGCGGTTGTCTAGAACCCAGGTCGAAGTCTTTGCCTTCGAGAACGTCGAGAAGAAGTAATACTGGGCTCCAGTGCTTTCAGTCAGCCAACTCTGCGACTCAGGGATGATTCATAGTGAGGCTTCTCAGCTGGAATGTTAGGCTCCAAAGTACTTCAATTTCATATTTGCCCCCTTGGTAGACCGAGGAATCATACACACAAACAGCACTTGCTATGCAAGCAGACCATAAAGAACCAGTTCATGTGAGCAGATCGGAGGAGACAGGACTGCAAGCCCCTGTTGTTGATAGGGTGAAATCAGTCTTCACAGGGCAGATGAAAGCTTTTGGAGGTATGTAAGAGCTGTCAATTACTTCGGACCCCTCAACAGAACGAAATCTTCCTCCTCCAGAGAAACGGTGAGTCAGTTCTTGTGCGTGAGAGATGAAGATGCAGTTCCATAGTCAGGCCGTTACACTGCGTTAGTCACAACGATGAAGAAAACCAACCGTGAGGTAGTAGCTTGACCGCCGGGTTGTGAAACTGAGGAGAAATTAGACATGTCTGTCTGTGCATCACTTTCATAGTTCGTTTACCGACGTGAGAAGGCTGGCTAGCTGGCTCCGTGGAGTCACTAACTCAGCGTTTATCGTCTTTCCATAACCCATGTGCTTAAAAAAAAACAGAGAAGGTCATCGGTCGGCTGAAAAACGCTTCGAAACTGCGATCAACGCAAGCCGTAGCTGACGAGCCATCAATGTGAACTTCTCCTAAAGTTGGTCCCTTCAAGTTCAGCTCGGCAAGCTTGCTCTCGAACATGTTTCGGTGAGAAGTACTGTTTACAGATTTTTCTGTCCGGTTACTCGAGTCGTCGTTTACATTATCAAACGCATCTAAGGCTTCAAAGTATTTCATGAACGTGAGAGTGTGATATGCGGTCAAGGTACTGAAGTGTTCACCAGATTCCAGTCTGATGGTGCAGGTATAAGCGACCGTCGATGCTATGACTACTGGAGCCACAATCCTGAACAGGCAGCCATCGCAAGCTCCCAGAAGAAAGCGGAGACGAACGTTTGTGGACTCGTCGACTTCCTTCACAGAATTGGTGGCTATACTCTTCGATGACGAGGAAGATGCAGTTGTGGTGGAGGATGCGATCAGAGGTCTGTTTCGACAAGCGAGTGAGAACCCAAACAAGTGGCAGATCCCGGAGTTTCCAGATGCCTTGGCAGGTCTGGTTCGACTTCTGTTCAAGGATGAGCTGCCAGAGCTTCAGAAGAACGCAGCTTGGGCTGTGGCGAATCTGGCCTCATCCCATGCTCAGAAGAACAAGGTGAAGCTGGCGAATTTCCCTCAGGTGCTGCAAGGGCTGGTGAAGCTTTTGCACAAAGATGAAGTCCCGGGTATACAAGAAGAAGCAGTCCGAGCATTGAGAAACCTCGCTTGCGAGCAGAGCAACAACCAGCTCATCTCTCAGTATCCTCAAGCTCTGTCGAATCTGCTGAGGTTGCTGTCTGACGGCGATGGCAGCCCTGAGGTGCAGATGCAGGCAACTATGGCTGTCATGAACCTGCTCGGAAATTCGGTGGCCAGCAGGTCAGAAGATCAAGGCAGGATCATCATCGACAACAATAACAACAACGTCACCAAAACGCACATCATGGCCTATCCCGATGCGCTGACAGGAATCATTAAACTTTTGTTCGAAGATTCAAGCCTCGAGCTGCAGGAGCAAGCATCACATGCCCTCGTTGATCTGGTCGAGAACACTCTCGTCAACAGGGAAGCGTTAGTAGGTACCTCCGCTGCTGGCAAAGGCAATGTGGAGAAGCTAGCGGAATTCCCTGATGCACTGGCAGAGTTACATCGACTTTTCTCGTATGATCCGCATCATAATCTCCCGCCTGGCTGATTCATTATTCCTACCCTGAACCGCCCTCCTCGTCCTCCTCCATATCAGCAGAGGTCCCTGAATCCGATCTGTACCAACTAGTCTCTGCTTGCCCATCAAACTTTCAATCATGTCCGATCTTTTTACAGGAAAGTTTGGCTGCAGCTCCTCGAGAAAAGGTGATATCTTCGAGCATTCAGCAAGTCACTGTCCTCTCATAAAGCACGAGTCTCGAGCGTTGGAGGAGTATCACTTCTATTGGTTTGACTCTGGTCGGTCATTAACTGAAGCTCTCCACTTCGGAGCAGCGGCCAAATTGAGGTCTTGAGATACTGCACATCCCTTCAATCGTACCTTTCATTGCGCTCGCGGGAGAAAGCCGGGCAAGTCAAGTCCCTCGGGAACCGCATCAAACATCGGAGAAAAGCTTCGGACGAACATGGTTCAGTGACTGCCAGATTTCAAATGTCAGAAGCATTCGAAACATGGGCTGGACCCGATTCTGTCCGACTTCCCACTTTCCATCAGGCGCATGCTAAAGACACTTTCACCATTCAGACATTCCGAGGGAGCGCACTTTTTTTCCTACTGATGTCTCGTCCGGTTCCAAAATGCACACGCTTTCGTCTTCCCCTTTTGCGCTTTTCGACTGCAGCTCGAACTTGAGATTGAGAATCGCGCTCTCCTCGGATTGCCGTGTTTGCTCTGCAGCTGTGAAAGACACCCTCCGACCATCTCCAAAATCCGCTCTGCTCTAATCTCCTCTTCTCTTTTCCTTTCATCACTCGGCTCACTGTCGATCCTGCAGACCAATAAAGAAATGAAGAATCCCGCAGCTTCTTTCGCTTTCGTTCACCTTTCGCTCGATGCATGAGCTCAGCCTCGAGCGCCAGGCCCCGAGGCTTTGGTACCCGTCCCAACGACGGCATGCGTTGAGAAGGTCAAGGTACGTGTCCCGAGAACGCTGTCCCGTCCATTAAGTAAAGAAAGTCGCGCACTTCTCCTTTGATTAATTAATTAATTAATTATTGTTCCGGGGAGGCATCTTACTCAGAGTGTACGAAAATGGGCCTTGAAAAAGCGGCCACAAAATATCCCTGTTGCGTAATCTGATTGCACGGAAGATATTCGTGTTACACGCTGGATCGAACGAAGCTATGTCAGGGTTATCAGGGTTAACTTTAACTTTAACTTTAACTTTGTTTTGTGGTGCTTTCCTTCCAACAAAGCAAAGAACGCAGACTTGACCCACGAGAACAATGCATGCCCAAGCCGAGGACGACCCGTCGACCGACTCACAGCGTAACGTTTGCTCGAGGGAGACTTCCTGATCTAAACCCCTACTTTGACTTAACCCCCAATGCACGATGTTTTACGATGCCTGTGAAAACCCATATTATTACATGGCCAATCTTCTATTGTTATGCGTTTCATTCAAGGGCCAGTAATTTTATGGAGTAAAATACTTGAAATGTTTGATTTGTAATGATACATACGTTACTGTAAACGAATGTATCAGGGGTTTTTTTCTCTGAAAATTTTACGCTTCTAATATGTCCTGCGAGACGACCATAGCAACTGGATGTGTTCATATATTACCCGTGGAGCAGACGTTAGCAATTTCTCTTAGACATTTGTAGGGCTCAACTCATAAAACATATGTACTTTTACAACAGTCCGCGTTCGTTCTGATAGGATAAATCGAGATGATCTTCATTTTGATTTATTTGCAAACGGAACTTCAGCTTCAGATGATCTTCAGCTTCTTGGAATGTCTGGTTGTCAGTCGAGGTTCGAGAGGTTGTCGATTTGAATCTAACCATGAATTTGTGCTCCCGACCATGACTTAAGTAAGCATTTTATTATTGGGAAAAATTTTCAAAAATTTTCAATCAAATTTGGATTCTTCGCAGCACATTTTTGTTTTTTGATAAAAGAAATTTATTTAGGATATTTTTAAATTGACATCTTGAAATTTTTTTAAGAAAAATGGGAAAAAAATACTGGAGTTTATAGAAAATTTATTTAATAAATTCTTTAATTTTCATAGTACAGAAAAAGTCTATTTTTGAAGAAAATTGCTATTCTTAAATTTTTTTTATCAAAATATAATAAAAAATAATATAATTTTTTTGAATAATCGTTTTCTAATTGATTATACAGATTTCAGATTATGTAAGTTAATCAAATTTAAGCTTTGATATTTTTGAGTATAATGTGTAAGTTTCAATATCATTCACTGATTTAGTCATTGAGTAAAGAGATGAATATGACATTTTATGTGGCTATCTTTATGATTAGACCTTTTTTTTTCTGAAATTATCATGTACTACAGAAATATTCTTATTTTTATAATTGTTACTTTACATAAATGCACAAAATGGATGTCCTCATGAAGGAACACTCTCACACACATGTATTATGAATAAATCATACCAAAGCAGATCTCAATCCGAAGAAACCACACCTAAAGAGTGTAAACAGATGAACCCATTTCTATTTATTTCATCATGGTGTGTTTCATTTGTTACGCCGAAATTCTGCTCAAGCTGGTCTTTCTTTATGTTTTGACCGGATCGCTACTCATGTGGGTTTGCAGTCCACTGGCTGTAAACCGTGGTGTCATAGAATGCACGAAGAATATTACCAATTATCCACAGACACATGTAGACATGGAGTTTGAATCCGGGATCATGTCTTGACAGAAAAAAAGGCTCAACCATGGCACCAAGTCGAATTGGTAATCTTATAGTTGGCATCCAAGACGGCCAGCACAAGCTTTGAGAAATATGTTACATTTGGTTAATTTAGGCCCCACATCGAAACTCACCGAACTTGCTGTGTGGTAGAAAAGTGGGCGTGCGAGACTCGGTGTGGAGACCCACTCACCGACTCCCCTAACCTACGATGGCAAGTCGTACTCCTCGAAAGTACGCCGTCAAGGTTGGAAGACTGCAGTAAAATACTGTACGGCGTATCTCACTGACCCCGTTGGCTACCATGGATCAACCGACTCTTGGCAATCACGGTTGTGGATTTGATCCCACGCTTGGCGCTGTTTAGCTAAAATGCTGCAAAGCGAAAAGGTTTCTCCTTTTTCCTGACAAGGAAGGTTAAAAATACAAAATTGTGCATAGCACCAGAAAGTGATCATAATCTAGACCATTAACAGTGTTGATCTCTCTATCCACAAGTTCACAATGGGGCCCAAGGGCTGGCGATGGTGCAGACCCCAGAGGCAGTTGTTGCTGTTTTTCGTGGACATAGTGATTCCTCGTCCCATCTTGTTGTCTGTCTGACCAGTCCTCCTACGCTCTGGGCCGACGCCCCTCCCTCGTCCCTTTGAAGGGTGCTGTACTGCTGCAGCTGCAGTGACGACATGAGCAGATACTGCAAGAAGGATGAGAGTTAGGTGACCAGCACTGTTGTGCAATAGTTTGCAGTTGTATGGGAATGGGATGGATGCTCTCTCTCTCTCTCTCTCTCTCTCTCTCTCTCTGTGTCTATCTCTCTCGATTCAACTCTGTCCTCGCAATTAAACCATCAATCAAATTGCGGCGTCCCTCGTGCACTCTCCGGTGCATGAATCCTTGTAGCTGGACGTCGAGCCGTCGGCTGCGAATAGTAATACAACTTCTCAGCGCGAGCTGCGAGGGAGGAAGTTGTTCCCCTGCTCTTCCCTGCATTCAGGACGAGGATTAAATGCACAGAGGAGGATATACAGAAAGCATTCAGGCGGCTTTCGAGAAAGCTGCCTCCCCACCCACGGGATCTGATGGGATGGGATGGGATGTTCCGGTGGCAAGAGCTGTAAAGGTAGAATAAGTCGAGGACGATTTCGGAAAGATTATACAGCTTTTCCCTCTAGATCGGAGAGCGCAGAAGCGACGGGGACAGTAGACTTCGTCAACTGGATTGATTGATTGTATGATTAAAACTTCGAGGATTTATCCCTAGAGTGCATGCGCCAGTAGACAGCAGTGGTGAGGACCGAACTCAAGAGATGTCCTCCCAATGACGGCTCTGGAGCAGTCTGTGCGCAGGATCTGGAAGGGTTAAAATTTCCTGTGTCGTTGACATCTTACCATCGCCTCCGCTACATACAGCATGACCTTCCTTCGAGTGAATCTGTCCTGAAATTTTCTAATAATGCAAGGAAGCGGGAGTCTGAGACAGACATTGCCACCAGTTGCATGGATCCGTCCGTCCCGGACAGGGTCGCAAAGAGTCGCGCTCACGGTCGTTTTGACAAAAATGCCATGGAGGCTTGTCGCTGATGGGCCACCATGATATCGAGAAACAAATTCCACTGTGATGTGTGAGCACGACATGCGTAGTGGTGCATCGGATATTGTCTTTACCTTATGAAACACACTCCTCAAATGGGCAGAAATCGTGGCACGTGGACACACACACCAATCGATTATCGACAACAAGGAACGATATGCAACAAAAATTTTTGAGATGAGTTTGGTTCGGAGGCACAACATAGCCGGTCAACCAGCCACAGTTTATTCCTGGTCGATCACTAGAAGCTGGGGTACAGCGTCATGACGGTACCATTTGATTCATTCCCGCAGGAACGATGGGTGCCATCCGTCCGTATTCGCAAGCATTGAGTTTTCCCTGGGATGTACAGTACAGTACAGGAAGCGTGCTGCCATTCCTTGCAACCAAATTCAATGGTCGAGTCCTACAATTTGCATAATATTTTGAGCTACCTACTGACAGTGTGTCACCTACTAATATTCAATCGGGCCTGTATGGTATGATACATGTTCTCGAGGCGCACCTCTAAAGGTAAGGCTAATCTAGATCGGTCAAAAACTGTTTATACTACAACTGCCCGGCGAAATGCGCCAGAATCAGCTTCAGAAAATCTCGTCGAAAACTTGTTGCTCCGAGGCAGTCACCTCGTCGTGCGACAACCTCACCTCCTCCTTGCGGTTGCTATGCGACTGCGTGCGGGCGTCCGAGCGCCTCTGCTCAGTCTCCGCCGATTCACTCTCTCGTTGTTGTTGTGTAGCCGAGTCATCGCCGCTGAAGGTGCACTCGCCGGAATTCGAGATGGAAATCTCCAGCATCGATTGCTGGACCTTGTGCACATCCGGTTGCTGCTGGTCTTGCGAGCCGTCCTTGGACTTCAGCTTCATCGGACCCGACAGACGAGCTTGCATGCTCGTCTTCTGCGAATTTTGAGTGAACGACCATTGCTCCAGCTGATCGCCCTTGCCCGCGGCCTCCAGCTTCTTCTGCCGCTCCAATTCTACCTCCTCCAGATTGAACGGGGGCGGCACCACCGGCGTCCGCGACATGTAATGCAGCTCGTCCCAGTTCACCCCGGCGAAGAAGGGATGCTTTTTGATCTCCTCAGCGCCTCCCGCCGTGCCCAGCCGCTTGTCAGATTCCTTCACCAGCAGCTGCTCCATCAAATCGGTGATGTCAGATCGAGGCCCGGGGAAATCCGCGACCTTGCACAGAACATTGTAGAAAGTCTCCTTCCGATTGACGCCTTTGAAGGGCGTGCGGCCGTAATAGAGCTCGTAGAGCAGCACGCCCAGCGTCCACCAATCGACCGGCAGCCCATGGCCTTTGCCCCACACGATCTCGGGCGCTACATACTCCTCGGTGCCCACGAAAGAATGCGCCGGGCCCTCGGACGAGCGCTTGCCCGAGCCGGCCTTCCTGTACATCTCCTCGGGCGTCACTCGGCGCTTGGGGTTCTTGCTCGACGGCTTCTTCGCCAGCGCCATGGGCGACCCGCACGCGAAGAACGACTTCACCGGGTTGACTCCGCGGCGGCTCTCCTTCTTGACGAATTCCTTCATGCTCCCTTTGCCCGTGGGCGCCGGTGTCGATCTCGCCGTCCAATTCCTGTCCGTCAAGTCCAGCGACAGGTCGAAATCCGTCAGCATGATGTGCCCGCCCGACTGGATCAGAATGTTCTCCGGCTTCAGGTCCCGGTACACGATGTTCTTCGAGTGCAGGTACTCCAGCGCCATCAGCACCTCCGCTACGTAGAATCTGCACATGACGCCCCAGGGTCCATTTAGCAACCGTACACTTCCCTGCCCAAGACCAAGACCATAATCCAACCGCAGCAAGAAATTCCTCGATCTAAATGCTCGGTCACCGCTCGAAAGAGAGAAGAAGAAGAAGAAACAATCGAAGAATTTGAGCGGTGAGGAAAAGAGAGAGATTCTTACCGGCAGGCGCCCTCAGAGAATCGCCGCTCGGGTTGCTTTTGCCTGAGCACGTTGAGGTCGCCGCCGTGGCAGTAGTCGAGGGCCAGGAAGCTGTGCTTGTCATTCTCGAAGTGGAAGTGCAGCTTGGGCAAGAATGGGTGGTCGATCTTGGACAGGATTTCGCGCTCGTTGTCGGCTCGGTGGGTGTTTTTGCGCACGCGGAGGACTTCCTTCTTCATGACCTTGAGAGCGAAAGGCTCGTTCGTCTCGCGCTGGACGACCAAGAACACCGTGCCCATGTCTCCATTTCCCAGAGGCTTGATCGGCCTGAAATCGTCCACCGAATATTGGCTCTCGGGCTTCGCCTTCACCACGGCCCCGCCTTCGAGAATGCCCGAGTACTCTACAAGCCGCACGCTTTCTTCTCCGGCATGCGGAGGCATGTTGGACCTGTCAGCGCCGGCACGTTCGAATCCGACTCCTATCTCGCAAGAACTCAACAAGATCCTCCGATCAACTCAATTCGAAGCTCTGTGAGACCTCTCTCTCTTTCTCTCCCTCTCCTCTTCCGCCCTTCGTGTGCCACCGGCACCACCGTCGGTCGACTACCCAAATTAGCCTCCACGGCGCGAAGCTCAAGGCTGCGATTTAGGCTCTCTGCCAATAAATTCAGACGCTGGGCTCGAAGCCCAGAGATTTTCCTACACAAAACCGAGTGAATCACTGACGCTCCAAGGTCGGAATCTGCGCGCTCCGCAGGCGGTTAGATGGACGGTTCCTGGAATGTGACTCTCCGCGTTCTGATTATGGGGTGAAGCTGAAATGTGTGCCTCTGAGTCGATCCGCTGATCCAATATGGCGGGGAATTCGACGAGTGCTATGTACAAATGATGCGCTGAGACTCTGATAACTGGGAGAACTCGAGAGCGCAGCCCTCAGTGAAACCGACCACCGACAGACTTCTGACCACGAGCGCCGATCTTGCCGCTGCTGGTTTGGGTGGGAAAATTGACAATGCTGGAAACTATATATATACAAGCGCACTCCGTCGACTATGGCGAGGGACTGGTCTGCCTCACTCTCTCCTTCACTCGGGGCTGTAATCGATCGAACACACACACACACTAACTCTCTCACACTCACTCACTCACTTATATCAGAATCGGCCTACAGGTCTTCCTGTTTCTCTCTACGTCCCGCTCCCTGGCTCGCCCCGCGACTGCCACGCAGTTCCAAATAGGTAGTTCGTTACGAAAAGCCCTGTGGGAATGATCGATCTCCAATCCGATTGAAATATGTCTTGAAGGCTTGAAGGCGATCGTTCTGGCGTAGACCGCACTCTAGATATGGGACCGCGAGAGTCCTCAATACCTCTACCTCCGCCCTTCCCCTCTCCCAACTCTACGCGGGTCCTTGATTCTGTGACGCCTGCTTCGGCCGGAGCTGCTCTTCTCTCTCTCTCTCTCTCTCTCTCTCTGAGCCTCCTGCCTCTGCCTCTGCCTCTGACCTATAGTCTAATAATCTCTTGTGTTAACGTCGCAGGCGGACCCCGATGCATGCGTTCGTGGGTGCGGCTGTCTGTCTGGCTCGCTGGCGCCTTCCGTCTGTCCTTCCTTCCTCCCTCCCGTGCCCAACGGAGTTGGTTCGTTCGGTCGTTCGCGACTGGGGCCTGTCACTCGATCGCAGTTATCGCTTCGTCGTCGTTCGTCACGTCAGTGACTCTGTCGCTCTGTGTGTCTGTCTGCGTGCCTGCCTGCTTCCCTCGCTCCTTCCTTCCCTGCTGGGCCTCGACTCTGACACTGAGCGCTCTCATCCGGTTGAGCTGCTCTTCTTCCGCTGCTCCTCCGTAGCTCGCGCTGGTGGTGGCGCCACATGTGGGCCCCACCCGCTCTGCACTGGGGACTCGGGACAGTACCTACTGGCCGACTCTGGCTGGCCCTTGCCCACTGGCTCGCTCTTTTGCCTGCACCTGTACCCGAAGCTGCCCCCAGGCCCCCACCTCGTCGTCGTCTCCCCTCGCTACGCAACAACCTGCCTCGGTGGACGGACCTGCATCCATTCCGTCGGTCAGAGCTTGGACTCGACGATCTTTCGCCATTCGTGAACCTACCGCTACCGACGGCGCCTTGACGGAGGCCGTACATCCGTTTCCTCCGCCGGGAAATCTTTCGCCCTGCCCGAGGGACCGATCGACTGACTTCTTCTCAGCAGTGGCGGAAGCTTCCCGCTGCTGGGCAGCGGGTGAGGAGAATCTCCCGGATCTCGAACCTTCCGATCCTACCGCACTCTTTCACCGACTTCTCCACTAAACCGTCGGTGCTGGTGCTGGTGACGGACCCTAACCTCATATAACCTGGACTAAACTGGCTTCCCAGCCAGTCCCGAGCGCGGCGACGGTCTCTCCCCGCCGCTATATTTGGAGGGAGGCACGGTACCTTCTGAGAATCTAGCTCGGGAGAGGCCAGAGGTGGAGGAGGAGGAGGGCGACGGAGAGGGAAGTGCGAAGGTGGACCGGTGGGGGCAGCCCATTGGCCGAGAGCTCGACCGGAGTGTTATAATTAGATCCCGACCACAGATTTGGAATGTTTCTGAGCCATTTTTCTTTGGCCGACCTCGTTTTCCCGACGTGGGAGGCGGGGAGGGGTTTCCAGGTCCGCTTTGCTTTTGTTTTGCCTCTCCTGACGACTCCGTTGAAATCGAGCGCAGCCTGCCCGTCTCGTCCCACGTCATGGAACCACGAGTTCTCTTTGGACTTTCGGGAAAGGTTGAATTTTGGCCGAGTTTTACTGCAGGGACGACGCATTTTGCCTGACCTTACCTTACCTTCCACTCTGACGTCCGATGCCCAAGAACCTTCTTATTCAGCCGAGATGCGAATCTGCAATGCTTCTGCGGTCAGATTGGCGTGTCATTCGGCAGGGCACCGGCGCCACCAACTGGGGATTTTTTCACCCCGCGTTTCAGACCTCAAGAATCTGCATCCACCTCCTTCCTGCCCAGGGGATGGAGACATTTTTTCTTACCGGCTCCGTCCTGGACAACAGCGGATTTGCGCTCCTGCAGCAGAGGAGTAGATTGGGAATGTCCAGTCACGTGCCTGCCTGCGCGAGCCTTGGCCCAAACTGCTCTCGCTCTCATCAGATTGATCCAATCCATCACTGGAAACCAATGTACGTGTATCGGTGCATCCGCAGCTGTCTGGATTCTGAGGATTTCCTGCGAGCTGCCAGTCGTCCTCGTCGTCGCTATGGCCGGGGGTCCGAATCCCTGGAACCGTGTGCAACAAGGAAGCCATCGGGAGAGATAGAGGTACCACCACAAGTACAACTCGGTACAGTAACTGACTCCCCGCTCCCTGACCAAGATGGCAAGCAATGCTGCTGTCCGTCCTCGGGAGGAATTTCCACTCATCAGCTCTCTCTGTCACATCAGTCTTGCATCAGTGCGCTTGTCGGACCTTCACAACGGTGGACTTTGGCCCAGTCCCGTAGGTTGCACCCTTCTCTTCCGTAGTCGGGATTTTCCACAGTGGACTTTTGCATCGTGGACTTATTTTTTGAGAATACTCATTTCCTCTTCTGCATCGGACTGGTCCCTTTGGCTTGAACGTAGCTCTTACTGCCGGGAGCAATTTCGCATGAAGATGGCGTGGCCCCGCTAGAAATCACGTTTCGACATTCGCATGAAGCCAGTCAATCGTTCTTCCCTTTCCTTACGCACCGACACGTGTGTCCGAAACGAACGCCGGTGTCTTCCATCCTTCACAACGTGAGAGTTGTGAAGGATGGAACTAGGACGAAACATGGCAGTGATTTCCATCCTAGACAAATGAACAGTTTGACAACGAAATGAATGTGTCGAAAATCCCGAAAAATCGCACCTGCCTAGCGACGTGCTTTCATGGCAACTTGGAATATTATTTCTTAGTGGAAATTCTTTCCTTCGCAGCTGTTGCAATGGAACATTACTAAAGTGGCGAAGAACGTACGGTGGTAGATAGAAGGATCCGTTTGAAAGGGAAGCTCTATAGCGCCTTAGCCTTTCCGTTACTGCATGGCAACTATGAGATAACAAACAAGGCGGATTGTACATGAGAAGGAACTCCATGCAGATACGAAAGACTATCTGAATAATTTCCAATATATAGACAAGATAAATCAATATATAAACGTACATTTTGGCCGTTTTTGTAGATGCGACATACACTTCTTCGTATCTTTTTTGTGCAGAAGTGTTCAGGGTCCTCAAGTTTTTACACTCAAAGTTGAATCAAATTACTTCTTATTGTTTGTTACAATCAGATAACAAAGACACAGGTCTGAAAAAGTCTTGCTAAGTCTTTATGTTTGTAAGGAATTTTGCTCCTATTCAACATTCCATATTTTTCTCGTTGCCTTCATATAATTTCATCCTGCACGAGATGTAAAAGATAGATTCGATTATTTATTTCTTGAATAAAAGTATTTTTATAGGTACTGGGGAGTTTTGACAAGGCAATTCAATTTTCTCATCGCGTTGTGCCTCATTATGCTGTGCATGCCGTGCCCCTCATTTTAAGATTTTAGAGCATTTATGTAACCAACCAGGTTCAAAAGTACATAATTTGACAAACAGGATGTACATTTCACACATATGGATGTACGGTGTGGGTTAAATAATCAGCTTTATATTGGGGTAAACTTATAAAAGGATCTGTAGCTTTCTAAGGTGATCTCCGCACTCAGACTGTTTTCTATTGTTAAAGTAGAAATTTACAAAAAGAAACGTTTTTCGTTCTAGCCATTGTTTTCTTATGGTAGCTCAAATCGAAAGGGTTTCTGACAGAATCTCTAGGCTTCTTTCTTTGCTCGCGAAAAAATAAGGACTCAACTTTCTCCTTCATTATTTGCAATCACATCACTGCAAGAGATTCAAAGCACTGTTCGTGTTTCTCCTTTAGATAACCAATCTAAAGGAGAAACACGAACATCGGAACACATGTCTTCTCAACTTTCTGCCGGTCGGTTCTCAACTCATCTGCTGTACTGCTTTTTTCTCTTTTTGTGAATACTGTAGCGGAGTGGTCTGCATCAGACTTATGTGGACATACTGAAAGGAATGACGGCTGATATGCCACATTTTGGAAAGAAAGGATCCAATATAGTCCGAAACAAAAGCCCCCAACGATTTTCCAACCTTGATAATCAAGTAATTGTCCATCACGTGGATAAAAGAAGGGTGCCATGACACTTTAATGACGTAAGCAATCAAAATTTTGAAGAATGGTGATGATGCAATACATTTAAATGGGAACGAATAGAACCTGGACATATACTTGTAATAACCTAGATGGAATAATGAACCAAATACTAAGCAGGTGACAGTATCATATCGTAAAGTATCCTCAGGAGATCTGATATTTGATTTCTTTGCCCTTGAACATATCTTCAGATATGTTAGGTAACCGAGAGGACTAGACAGAAGATCTTGAGCTGCTGAAAATCGCAGATCAAGGTCATCAATCTGTAGACAGTGAATGTTGTGATTATAATCCAGTGAATTTTCGTAACGGAAATGATCACATAGTTTCAAGGTGTATATCATATCTGTTCAATTATGAACTATTGACATATAATATGATTCCTTAGAGCACGCACTGGAAGAATAGATGCAGCCACTTCAGAAAAGGGGCTTGCCTCGTCGCAAGAGTCTGTAACAAAAGATAAAGTAGCAAATTAGAAGCTTCCTTCGAGAAGAAAATATCTGCATCTTCAAAAGATTTGGGGAGGTGGGGCCATGAGTTTTTTGAGACCTGGTACAAGTTTCAAGGTAGTGTCAAACGGGCACATTAGCAGCCTTTTTTTCCAACTTCCAGATTCCTTCTTTTCCATTACCGATGCCTTGAATATGGCTCTAGGTCCACGCATTCTTTCCGTACGAAACCATTTGAGGCTCTTCACTCTCGACCTTTTTATGATAGTTACTCTGTTCCATTCCCCCCACGATAGATGGGCGCCAAATTCTGTCTGTGCCGATGTTCCATTTGCTGTCTCTGAGCACGATGTACACATGCCTTTCATAGCACGCTAAGATCATGGCTTCGTCCATGACATTTCCCGTTTCGGCATTCGGACTAAAGTCAAAATCCTGCATGAGTACCAGCTCTTCCATTGAACCACGAGGACGATATTTCAGCCCTGGCCGACGATTATATATGGACCTGGGTTCTCCTCCACATGGGCCTCTGTTTTTTTTTTATGCAACACATTGGAATATCGATCTTGTTGTGGGCACCTTAAACCGAAAACTTTTTCTCTCCTCCCTCTCTCCTTTTATATTCCTGAGATTCTATATTTTAGCTCCAAACGTTATTATTTCCCCAAACGTTAGATTCTCAGGTCCGATACTCTTCTCTCGAGAGAACGGAGGGGCATGGAATATGGAATATTGTAATACGAGGACGAAAGTCCCTTATTTTGTTACATCCTAAGCGATCCTTCACTTTTCACTTTTGATCCCTTTGGTGGTTGTACAAATGAACTTGGTCCAGAATTGGACTAGATATTTACTTCATCTACAGTACTCTGAGTAACGCTATGGACTTGATATGTTGTAACATATTAACTCATAGAATCTTCATGATTCAGGTTGAACGCATTCAACAACATCCATTCGACTAAGCTGCAATTTAAGGCACAGCATAATGGCTTCAGTTCAACCATTTCCATCTGTTCTAGTTGGTGAAAAGGTAAAAGTCTGGTTCACCTTTTGAATTTTATGCCTAAATTCAAACACCACTGAATTTTGTGGGATTGAGAAAATCAAAACACTCACCTGTAAGTTTTCCTAGCAGGGACAGATAAAAAAAAATTGAGATACATCATGTCCGACTGTCATCATTCCTTTAACTCACATGGGGAAAACCCTCATGTTGAAAAAATACTTGAAAACGCAATTAACTTACTAAATATACAAACTTTCAACAAAACGTGCATTACATCCATTCCTTCATAGATTGTTACATATCAAGTAGTAGGAATGATATCAATTTGTGTTATGAAAAACAATGATTCCGTACAATAATATAAGATCTTTTCTTTTCAGTATATGTATCTTTCAATCATCATACATTTTAGAGTGAAGCTCAAACGAAAAATAACAAACATATATTCCTTTAAAAAAATTCATACGAAAAAAATTAATTATTTTGAAAAAAACATATACTATCTCAAATTAGATTTTTTGTAAATTTTTTTTTGGGATTTATCTTATAATTAATGATTCTATTAATCTAATCATAGATTAATATTATACATACATTATATCAATCTATGTATTTTGTCAAATTTTTATATAAAAAATTGCTCATTGATTTTATAGCTTTGCTATTTAATCAATATAATCAGAGTGGAGCATTCATTTGGTACAGTGATAAATTTCATATGATCAATTAAGATTTGATAGATTGATAGAAATCTTAATCCCAAAGTCTAACCATTCATTTCAAATTATGTTGTAAAAGTTCAATAATATTTATAACTATAAACCATTTAGATCAATGATAATTTAAATATCATCAAAAGAAATTTTCTAAAAAAAAATCTTTTCTCTTGTTATTTGTCCATATATATAAATATCTATATATTAAAATATTTTCATAAATATATATTTTCAATAAAAATCAGTTAACAAGATTAAACACAATGAAACTTAAATTTTAAAAAAATAAAAGTTCTTTATCCACATTCAATATATATATTTGTTGTTTGTGTCGATGATCCATCGTAAAGTTGTTACGAGATGGATGAGAACATATATTTATACATTTATTTATTAGAAAAACTAATGTACTTATTTTAAAATATAAAATTTTTATTATTTATGTTGGAAAATTGAATAAAAATAGCTTTTCACGATATTTTCTTTCATGTAATTTAAAACTTTGAAGAGTGACAGTTTTCATTTCCACTATTAATTTCGAAATTTATAAAATTTTGCATACATTTTTATGAGACTTTAATTATTTACGTTTTGAAAAATATTACATATTAATTAAAATGTAGAATAATAATTTCTTACATTGATTCTATATTTATTTTATAATTTAAAATATATTTATAATTATATAAATTTCATTATAAAAAAATAAAAAAAAGTACTCAAAATATTTCATAAGTTTATATATAAAAATTATCAATAAAAAACAAGACAGATTTTCCTGGTATCCAAATTGGATAGCATTCTCCTCAAATAGCCATAAAATAACTGTTTCTTCCTCGATAAATTGAATGAGATGAACTGTACTACATGGAAGCAGAAACCAAAAACACTAATGTATTTCATTTCAGCTGCAACCTTTAAAGATGTAACTACTTTCACCACTTCAAGCAGCTCGCTCTCTCTCTCTCTCTCTCTCTCTGCACGACTATTCTAGACGAAGGGTAACCTCCACAGTTGTCTGTTAACACGAATATCAATATCTAGCACACACCATATCCTCAAACGGATATGGAAATACATGGGCATGGTTGACGGCACCGAAGGCGCCAAGTCCAGAGCTCTGCTGAAGCTTCTGGCATACGTGAAGACGAGACTCGGGAACGAAGCACGACTCACTCGACGGCCCAAAGCACGCACGGTCAAGGCAGCCTTGCTCCCCCGATCTGGGCGATCTGTATGTCGAGTCCAGATTTAGCGACAGACCGCCGCCGCCTCATTTCCAGCCGAGTAGGCCGGATCCCGTGCCAGGGACTAGAGCCATCTTTCGTCTGGCTTTCAAGCTTCTTCGGCCGCTTGGAAATGTTCATTAAATTAATATTTTGGACGAGGGATGCATTGTGGAGTGAGGAAACTGACACTCCCCACCGTAGGATGCAAGGCAAAGCAAGGTAAGGTAAGCTAGCTGAAGAGAAGAGGGATGTGATCGAGGACTTTTTCATGTTTGATGGAGTGGATTCAGGGGAGAGGTCGGGTTCGATGGGTCCTAGGTCCTAGGTCCTGGGCTCTGTTCGAGCTCGTGTGGACGGAAGTCAGCTCCGCTTTCCTGCTTCTGAGCTGCTGGTTGGTTGCTTCTGGACGAGCGATTTCAGCTGGAGCGCAGGACGCGTACTAGGTAGGGGCGATTGAAACGCATATGCAACACATGTCGAAATGGATTGTGAGTCGGGAGGAGGCGGAGATGGGGATCGTTGTCAGCCAGAAGACCTGGTTCGCCGACGTGGAGCTCGGAGGGGGAGGGGGAGGCGAAGGCGACGAGCTGCGAGTCGGAACAGTGGTCGATTCAGTGATCGAGCACTCCACTCCACTCCACATCACATCGCCTCGCCACTGTTTCCGCTTCCTCGACCTTCTTCTCGCTTCGGACACCTTCGAAGATTCCCCGACTAGCACCTCAAGATTTTCGCCGCTTGTTTCCATCCCCGAGCCACATCACTTGCCTCCTTTCTAGCTGCTAGCTTCTAGCATCTCCCTTCTCCCTTCTCCCTTCTCCCGCCCTGCAGTCGCCAAGATTCGCATTCTTGCATTCTAAGCAAAGCGGGAGAGAGAACGAAAGGGGGGATGAACTCCAGAACAGTGGCACGACAACATGCCATGCCGTGCGACACCATTCGTGAAGCAAGGAGACGAGCGAGCAGAAGAGGATCCGTTGCGTCGTTCGTGCAACTAGAATCTGCTTCTCGGCCATTGTTGACCGGGGCGAATTGCTATTTACAGCAAAGGAAAAAACGATGATGCTATTGGCCGCTTCGTCGCCCACTCCATCGCTAGAGCCCAGAGCGGAGAACAGAGCCCGTTCCGATCCCGCCGCATTTCTTATCTCCTCATCATCTGACACCATGACTGCAGATCGAGGCCCGGGCGGGCATTGATGACCGGTGACCCCGTCCGCCGCGAGGACAAGAGCGCGCGCCTGTCTGTCCGTCGATCCGGTCCGGCCGGACAGAGGGGGCAATAGGGAGCCGAAGCTTCTGGACCGAAACTTGTCGAGATCTGGCGTGTTTGTGAGCCGCACATGCATTTCTGCCAGTGAAGTGCGGAGACAAGAGCGATGAGTCAAAGGCCTTGCCACCTCTTCTCTTGCTTGTCTCGAAGCATTGTAGCCCCCAGGATGGGAAGGCCCGATTAAGCCTTCGACTGGCAAAATGAGCCTATCCCAACGCTGATATCGATACTCGATATGTGGTAATACTGCACCCCATGAACCATAACTATCTACGAGCTTTGACTAACTATAGAGCGAGTCACGTCAGCACTATTTCACCACCGTGACCTTCGTTGCGTCATTGTAACCGGAGGCGGTGCCCGGATGGGTCAAACCATGGGCATTGGTGGCGGCCGAAGCAGCCGACCAAATGAGTCCAGTGCGTGCTCCTACTGGAGTTATTGGTGGCATTATTGGGAGACCGAGGTTGGACCATTGCCTGAGGTTTAGTTCGTTGTCACAAGGTGGCCGGAGCCGTAGGGGAGCTTGTGGCTGTAAAGCAAAGTTCTTGATTCTTTTGAAGATGGATTTGGTTCTCTCTCCTTTCCATGTGCAGTGCAAGAGTAATTACGAGACCACAAGATACTCGTTCTTCATTTTTCCCATTCCAAGTTGTGTTGAAACTAAGCTCAAATACATATAAAATGCTTCCCCTGCAAAATCCGAAGCTATAGATATGATCAACAAAAGTGTGTGTTTTAAATTTTTTTATTTTTTTTTTAATTGTTGGAGCTTCTTGTTATTCTTCAATTATGGTAGCCCTTGTTGCGTAAGTAAACTCACAAAACACTCATAGTAGCACTTGAAATTTCAAAAATTGAATAGTAACATTCCAAGCAAGAAAGTTGGAAGTAGTAATAGAAGAAAAATAATTGGTAATATTTTTGAAAGAGTAAATACAACTGACGAGGAAGACGAACAATATACGGAGAATCTTTATTTATATCGCTAGAATGCTATTAGAAAACTCTAAAAGTTGGCTTTGCCTCTAAGTTGAAAAAAGTCATTGAATGACATCACGTCCTTATATTTATTTAATGTATAAAAAATAGAAACTAAAAATCTATTACAAGAATTCCATGTGATATTTACGTGATTACAGTCTAATTTGGTGTTGGTTTAGACATGTTGGATTCAAATATCTTTAGCACTTGGTTTGGTTGAGTATTTACGATGCAATATTTTGATCATTTTGAAAACGTTAGCATGATTAGCAGCAATTTTGCTTGTTTCTTTTGTAGTCCTGCCAATGTACAAGATAATATAATCTTCTTCGATTGATGCGGAAGTCGATGATCTTAGAAACTTCAAATCCTCCTTTCCATGAATGTAAATTGATGGCAGAGGTGCTAGCAACAGTCATAGATAGTTGATTTTTAATACGGTTTAATTAATGAAACATGAAACATTTGATGAATTTTCATAGATCATGGCATGTCTACTTACTCAACAAAGTACAAGACGATGATAATCAAGTTTGTCGCTCGGCGAGTCTTCAAATTATGATGCAAAAGCCAAAATTTATCTCCATCCAAGATGTTCGGATTTTGATTTCAAACTTTATCTTCATTTCTCTTTTGCTGCTCTTGAGCTTCTACAAGTCTTGCTTTCATACCTTTATGTATCTTCAAAAAGTTGTGTGACTAGATGTAATCACATTTAGTTAGTTAGAACTAAAGTAGAGGTTACTCAAAACATTTATATAGTTTCTTTAGCGCGCACTACTCATAGATGCCACGTTAGCAATCTGCGTGCTTGGTAAGTGAATAATTAGGATCGCCACGTGAGCAATCCATGTGCTTGTTAGGTAAGGATCGAGTGTGCAAGTTAGTGTGTTAGTTGGAAGTGCCATGTCAACAATCCATGTACTTGTTAGGGTTATCCGCCAGGTCATCCATTCACTAGGAGTGGGATAGATGGTGGGGATAAGATCTTATCTCATTGTACTTGATGCTAAGAGTTAAGGGAGAGGAAAACCATTGTTGGTATGTTTCATCTTCAGAATTTTATGTTTCCATCTTCAAGTGAGACTTTCTCTAAACCCTAATGTTACACTAGATCTTGCACTATTTGACTTTATTCTAAACTGAAGTTGTTGATGATATCAATAGTTTGCAAAAAACAGAGTTTGATTTATAGACTTTTGAATTGTATTGTTGTATGCAAACTATGTGAATCAAAGTAGATTAATCCAATTGTCTTGATGATAATTGTTGAAGCAAATTAAATACTAGTACAATATTTGATTCACTTGTTTAGGGCCATATTACACAACCGGCAGCCGGCAATTAGTTCTTGGCTAATGAATGAAGGAATCTTCGTAGGACTCTCTTGTCCACTTGGACATTATCCACTAACGGTTATCACACAGCCGGTAGTGGTAGGAATGAAAAGAGAAGTCTATGTAAAGTACACCTATCGAGAAGAAGAGAATACTATCACTTCAAAATTTTTTTTTTCTTTCCTCTCACTCCAAATCCCTAAACTTCAGTGCTCGTCTTAGTTATAGGCGTTCTGAAGGAGGTTTGGATTTTAATAGATATCTGCGCAGTGCAATAACGTGCTTGAAACGCACAAGATCGTAGGTAAAATGCTAATTGTGAGAGTGTCGAGAAAGTTTTAAGCACAAAGATTCTAGCTATGGAAAGTATACACGTGATCATGCTGGGGTCTGGATGCTCAAACTACGCTGAGCGATTATGACTGAGTAGTTATAGGCATTTTGAAGGGTGTTTGAATTTCAATAGATATCTACGCAGTTTTGAATCTGGCAACTGTGTGGACACACTCATACATCATTCATACATCACTGCTCTAACCTCGACATACTTCAACTGTAGCAACTGAAGTCAATGTGGTATATGCAACTCACCTTGCTTTGACGGGGCTGAAAATGCACTATGCATTTCTCCTCGTATTGTGATCGATTGGATGATACAATGATCCTTCTAATGCCCATTACTCTTCAAAGCATCCACTTCCTCTTTCACGCCGTCCACTTGAGTAAGTTTAGGTTTTTTACGGGGAATTCTTCGTTTCTTGCTAGGTTTTGTCTTTATAACATCAACTCTACTGAATTCGCCTTTTTCAAAATCACTATTGAATCCAACGGAGAGGCTCGAAGCAACGTGACTTGCAGGTGGAAAGTGCATTCTCGGGAGTGAATGCACGAAGTACTGTGGAAAAATAAAACCTGGGTGTGGAAAACTTCCAAAAAATGGCGAAGTTGGAATGATAGTACTACCTTGCGCATTGAATTCCGATCCCATAACGGGAGAGTTGGAACCGAATGCATAATTCGTGAAGTCATACAACGGAGTTTCTTGTGAATCCATCGTGTCGAGAAATTGTCGAGAAATTTCCAATAGAGTGGGAAACTACTGTACTCCTCGAAGAAACTTGAAAAAGACGCGAATATACACGTGGAGTTGGAACTTCCGTAAAAACCAAATTTCTAGGCGGAAGTGCATTGTTCTCATGAATGATTGATTTTTTTGCCACCTGGAATTTTTCAAATAGTCTCTTCCTCCCATGTGATAAGGAGAGCAGCCGGCCTGCCAATGACAGGCGAGGGTTCATTGCCATTGCCGGTCGTGTGGTTTGGCCCTCAGTTTGTACATCCTTTTAATGATGATACCTTAATGATAGATTATGGTTTACTTGTAAGATCTTGAGGAGTATTTATCATAACTTGAATTTGAATTGTGTATCATGATAAAGAATCATACAGTAAAATCACTTTTAACCAATACCAATAGGTCCGTTCACAAGTTATAAGCTAGGAGGAGTTATAAGTTATGAGAGGCAGCTATGTACAGTAAAATCCCTTTTAGCTTGAGCAATTGAGATCGAAATAATGTTATAAGATCGACATAAGAAAGTGATATAACATATCACTTTCTTTAGATTGAATTATTTTTTGTTGGACAAGTTGCACCCATAACTCCATCTATAATTGTGAGTTTCGGTGTGCGATCCATATGTTCAAATCCTCATGCACTACGAATACAGCTGCACTAGAATTTAATGAATGTTAGCAGCAGTATGTGATATTTTACATTGTAATGTTAGTGTGGGCTGTGCAGTCATTTCAGTACTTTTTGCTATATTATGCTAATGTTTTGAGACAAATATGAGAATTGTAAGACGGTTGTAGACAAATTTGATGAACGTGCACGTGCTACCTGTCGTCACAAGGCACTTCTTCTACCCTGCTCTAGTGTACACAACTCCATGTTTGCTGCCGCCCGCCCTACGTCCCCCACCTCGAGCACAACGGACTTCACATCGCTTGGCCTTCCCGTCTTACCGCACGTTTACCCATCCATCCAAGAACTAATCCTACTACACTCTCTAACACATATTTCAACCTGGACACATAAGCTGTCACAGTTAATATCACTCGTCACTGGCACTGGCAGTGTAAATGGGATGATCCAACCATCTGCTTTTCCATGTGCACTCTTCGTACAGATCACTTTAGACAGGACATGGTTTGGTCGTTAGGTCTAACTTTGCCAATGCCACTTCTGGAATCAGTCCTCATTTCTACTTTGAACAAATGACTGCTTAATTTGTTTGTTCGGTGACACGAGTATGAATGGAACCCGCCGAAAAGTCCGATGGCCAATGCCGGGAACCCTTCAGAATCTGGTCCAGCAGTTGGTTACCGCACACAGCCTAGGGACAGCCAAAATCATCAGTAAGTGAGTGAGACGAGAGAGAGAGAGAGGATCATGAATATTTTGGCCCGGTAGCCCAAGCCAAGCCAGACGGGGCGGAGAGGACGTTGGGTCACCCCCGGGCACTAACGGCGGCGCCAGCGGGGCCAGCCGGCGGAGGGACACGTAACGAGAGGACCAAAGGTGGAGTCACGTGTCAACCCGCCGCACTCATCGGTAGTTTCAGGCAATGAGTGGCTGGGACGCCACGTGACCGGGTCGACGAGTGAGAGACCAACGGAGTCGAATGGACCCCGACGTCTACCGCCCACCTCATCGTCTCGGTGTCCGCGTCATCCTCGCCGTGCTCCTGCTGTCGTCGGATATGCTTCTCCACCACCGATACTCGAAATTGAGCACGGGATAAATCACGCACAATCATGGTGACCGGATTACTGGCTGAACGGATAACCGGCTGACTGCCTGCCTGCCTTGCCTAGCCTATGTACGTGGACGAGGGGAACGTATATATAGGCTTGGCCACGGTCCGGACC